TTGTTATGCATTATGTACATTATGCACAAACATGATCCTTTCTTTACAAGCATATTGTTATGCCTTACCACAAAATGATTGAGACATTTTTTTCCATGACATAATATACAATTTAAAATTTTAATAAAAATTAAATATAATTTAACAAAAATTTTAAAAAAATAGTTTTATTTGACTAGTCAACAAGAATACGCATTAATTTTTATATTTTATAAGTATTTTATACAAATATACAAATTATAAATCTAAATTATTTCAAGCTGCAACACGTCATGGAGTAAATGTTGGTTTATTGTTTGTCTTGTAACCTCTTGATGCAGGACATTTCCCAGGTAATTGGAATGTATGACTGCTTTTAACTTTCTTGTCAAAGAAAAGGGTATGATTTTGGCTGATTATATGCTTCTAAAAGATAATCTAATCAATGATAGTGGCTGACAAGGTTCTAGAAATGACGATAATAATGCAAGAAAATTTCGAGTTTTGCCATGAAAAAATATGAATTGTGAGATAATTAATAAGCAAATATCAACAACTGTATTTATCATAATGGATAAAAATATTATCTATTGACTTTGTTTATTTATATATTATTCAAGGGAAAGAAACCAAAAGAAACAAAGAGAAAAGGTTGCTTAAAACAAAAATGGCCAAGCAACACCTATATATATTATATCCTGTCAATCCTTTATTTGTTTTTCTTTACTTTAATTTGTTTCTGTCTTTGGTAGGCAAGGATAATTCGACTTCCCTAATCTCAAGGAATAATTGAGGATTCCATTTATATTACATATAAGTTTCAGTTCCATCCAATGTCCAATCTAATAATGCCATTTATGGAGTGTTCTTAGCTAACTTGAAATGTGACAACTATTTTTTAAAAAAATAATAATATTTTAAAAAAGATTAGTGGTATTGTTGGTATTTTAAAAAATAAATCTAATTATTTTTATTTAATTATTAGCAGCATTCTTTTTTAAATTGTGAAATAAAATATTTTTTACTTTTTTATATAATAAAAATTTAAAAAAATAATTGACAATTTTAACGGAATATTTTCTTTAATTTAAATGAAATATTTTATTTTCATTAATATGGAACTAGAATTCCATAAAAAAAAATTGTAATAGGATGATCAAATCATGTTTGAAAAAAGTAGAGTGATAAATATGGAGTCTTAATCTAATAAAACGGTCCTTTTTTCTAAATTGAATGTCCTTATGCATAACATTTGATATTAATTTTTATAACTTTTGTAAGAAGCTTGATAATATTTTATAAAATTTGGTTAGATTTTAATACTGTTTTGGTAACTTATGATATGATTTTGATAATTTTTTAATAAAATCTAGACAACTTTTAATATAAATTTTTAATTTTCTCCTCAAAAATCATTTAGATAAAAAAAATAAAATTAATAAAAGTCTTTAAAACACTTTATAATATGGAGAATCCATCTTGCATTTCAACTTTTTTTTGACAATATATACTCATTAGGCTGAATATATTTGAATAATTACAATATGAGTGCAATTAATGGATGCCTGTAAGTATATATTGCGTTTAATTTTTTGTTATAATTATCACTTGTTAAGATTAGTTAAGCTGAAAGAACAAAAGCAAAACCAGGGAATGTGATGCATGTGAAAATGCAGACAAAAATTGTCTTTTGCGTACATTACAAACAGCTGGAGTACCTCAGAATTTAAGGAGTTACAAAGATTTTTTAATTAAGACAGCTACTTTATCAACGATAAATAAGAAATTAATTAAACCAACAGTCGTCTGACAACAATTAATGAAAAGCACAACATACAGAAAATGAGAAAGTCAACTAGCTGTAGTGAAATATCATATCTGCAGCAGCCAATGAGTAGGCATAATTTCAACATCATAAGAGCAAGAAATTCAGGTACTTTGCATCAGCATTCTCAATATACTTGGATTTCAGGTCTTTTATGCTTCTAATATTTTTTACCATTAAATTGGGTTTAGTTTTCTAAGGCAATGTTACCAAATGGGAACAAATTAAAAGCCGGTTTCTAGAGCAAAATCTCTTCAGCCCCTATATATAATGGAAATGTTATCAGTTCATTGATTAAGACAAGAAAATAAACATAATGGACAAGCTTTTAATTCTTTTCATAGGTTCTTTATGTCTCTTCCTCCTTGCAGCTATGCTCAAAGTCCTCTACAAATGGTGGATTCCTTGCCGTATACAGTTTATCATGAATTCACAGGGAATTAGAGGACCTCCTTATGAATTCATCCATGGAAACAACAGAGCAACAATTGAAATGGAAAGGGAAGCATTAAGCAAACCTATGGCCTTGACACATGATTTATTTCCCAGAGTGGTGGCCCAGACTTATTCCTGGATCAAAAGATATGGTGAGGCAAGATTTTTTTTCACTAGGATTTTCTATTTTACTTTCGGTTTCGAAGAACCAACTAACTCTTTTTTGTTTTTCTTTGATAGGGGAGAATTATCTTTTTTGGAATGGAGTTCGAGCTCAACTGGTAATTAAAGAACCAGAACTAGTCAGACAAGTGCTGAGAAATAGTGAAAAGGCTCTTCCAAAGAGGAAGGTTATATGTTTCCTTAGGAAGATACTAGGGGACGGGCTTGCTACGTCCGAAGGTGAGAAATAGGCAAGGCAGAGGAAGTTGGCCAATTATGCTTTTCATGGGGAGTGCTTAAAGGAAACTTCTTGCTGCCATAGACTTGATTGGTTGATTGAATGACTGCTTACAACAATTACATCAGCAATTTTACCATCTAAGTTATCTTAGAGATTTTATTTTATGTACTGTAGTAAATCACATCTCATAAAAAAAAATTTGAAACTTTTTAAAATCCTAAAAATATTTTTAAATTTTTGTATAAAATATTATTATATGATTCATTGGCAATGAATAATATTTATATATACCCAGAGAATATCAAATATAAATTCTACATATAGTAATTCAAAGTGGAGGATGGTTTTGGCAGAACATGACTCCAGCAGCAGTTGCTAGCGTTGAATGATGCCAGACAAGTGGAAAGGCCGAAGGCAAAGAGATCGAAGTGTTCGAGTAATTTAGATTATTGACTTCAGAAGTTATATCCAGAACAGCTTTTGGTAGCAGTTACTTGGAAGGAGAGAAGATTTTTTATATGTTGACGACGCTGTCAATAATTGTATGCAGAAATATTTATAAAACCAGGATTCCAGTCATCAGGTAAGTTCCTATAACCTTATATTTGTTAATCTGGATTCATCAAAAAAAATTGTTAATCTGGAGTGTAGCTGCCTGTTTTCAAAGTAGAATTAATATTGGTCCGCTTTTGCAGCTAGTTGTGGAAATCTGCTGATGAAATTGAATCAGAGAAACTGAAGAAAGCAATACATGATTGTGTGATGCAGGTTGTTAAAAGAAGGGAAGAGAAAGTAGTGAACGGAGAAGCTGACAGCTTCGGCTGTGACTTTCTGGGATTGCTTCTAAATGCCTATCATGATTTGGACGAGAAAAACAGGATTTCTATACAAGATTTAGTAGATGAGTGTAAAACATTCTATTTTGCTGGACAAGAAATGACTGATTCCTTGCTTGCATGGCCAATCCTGCTTTTAGCAATCCATACAGATTGACAAGAGAAAGCAAGAACAGATGTGAATGAAGTATTTGGTAATCAAAACCCACATTCTGAAGAGATTGCCAAAACGAGAATTGTAAGAAAACTGTAAACTCTAATCATTTCAATAGCATACAGTATATTTTTTAGAATTCAGTTATAATTTGACGCATTGATTCTAATTGTGCAAACAGGTGACCATGATCATCAATGAAACTCTACGATTGTATCCTCCAGTAAATGGCATGGTAAGAAATTTTGGAACTGAAGTTCAATTGGGAAAGCTCGTCCTTCCGGTTAATATAGAGTTCGCCATCCCAAACATGGCACTTCACCATGACTCTGAACTACGGGGAGATGATGTTCATCTTTTCAAACCAGAGAGATTCGCTGAAGGGATAGCCAAAGCTACCAAAAAAATGCGGCTGCATTCATTCCCTTTGGATTGGGGCCTCGATCTTGCGTGGGCATGAGCTTCGCCATCAGGGAAACAAAGACTGCTCTCTCCATGATTCTGCAACGCTACAACATTACCCTCTCAAGACTGCTCTCTCCATGATTCTGCAACGCTGCAACATTACCCTCTCCCCAGCCAATGTCCACTCACCATTAGCACTTCTCACACTTAAGCCACAACATGGGATTCAGTTGTTGTTTCATCCACTGCATAAATGATGCTTAGATACTCAGCGGGTGATCTCCAAAATGGTAAATTTAGTATTATCAATAAAAAGTGGATGAGAAACAGTTCCTAGTAATGTTAATGGATTTACTGTATTATTTACCAGCCATATTGTGCTGATATATAGTGTGGGGATTTCACGTTTTGGCAACAAAGAAACAAGATTATGCTCTTGTTAGTGTCCAAATGTTTTCAAAAGATTATTTAGAATAATAGTACCTTTTTATCTTCCTTGGGAGTTGAATGATTCCTAACTGATGGTAAGAAAGGAAAAAGTGGTGAACAGAAATCACTGTGTTTATGACAAAATTTTATTTTAAACCATAATGTAATAACAAATTTAACATTTATCCACAAACTTTTATTGTGCATATAACCACTATGAGACAAAATCAGCAGCATTTGGCTAATGTTACCGAGTATAATACACACTGTGAGACAACATTTGCTGCATATAGAATTCACGTTTTTGGTTGAAGTTTGACAATATTAATATTTTAGTGAAGCAAGTGGTTATTGAAACTGAAATAATGTAATAATAATCACAACAATAATTACATGGAGCCAAAAGCTTAGGCACCAAATTTGGTTGTCTCCAACTTTGAACCATAAATAAATGGGTAAATTCGATTCAGATTAATAATGCAGTGTTAGCCTTCAATTGATAGAGTTGGGAAGAGAAAATAAAGTGAAAGAAAAATGATCACAACTGTGGGAAATCCAATGATCATTCTCTCAAGCTTTTTCTGCCTGTGCCTGCTTTTAGTTCTCTTCAGGTTCTTACACAGGTTGTGGTGGACTCCAGTTTACATACAGTATGTACTAGGTTTGCAAGGAATTAAAGGCCCTTCTTACAAATTCATCCATGGAAACACCAAAGAGATTTTGAAAATGAGAAACGAAGCCTCAAGCAAACCCATGGCTTTATCACATGATATATTTTCCAGGGTGCAACCTCAGGTTTATTTATGGATCAACAAGTATGGTAAGACTTGATATGATTTTTTTTTTCTCCTGATCATGACTTCCAGTTCCAAGAAATATTATAATTAACCATTTTTTTTATTCATTTTTCTTTTGTTTGTTTGTTTGTTTTTCTGGGGAATAGGGAAGAATTACCTCAATTGGAATGGTGCTCAACCTCAACTAGTGATTACAGAAACAGAGCTAATCAAAGAGATATTGAACAACAGAGGTAGAACATATCCAAAAGTAGGGCTCCCATTCTATGTCATGAAGCTGATGGGGAATGGACTAGCTACATCTGAAGGTGAACGGTGGGTAAAACACCGGAAATTAATAAACTATGCTTTTCAAGGGGAAAGCCTCAAAGTAAGTTCTCCTACTTTTTTTTTAGCTGTATTGAGTCTGGATGATTACCTTTTTGAGTAAGCTCTCCTACTACTATATCATCAAATTTGGTTCTGGGGTCTGTTCATTTTTTCTGTAGTAAAGAGTAAATTAATTAGTTGATGGGAAATGGTTTAAAATTTAAAAAAATTTTGTTTTGAATCCAATTCACAACAAAAATTTCCATCATGAAGGAGCATCACCTACCAAGAAAATTAATATTGATTAAGATTACTGATTGAAAAAGCATGCAATCATGAATAGGCACAGAATTTTGGTCACTGAACTTAATGTCATGGAGGTTGGTTTTTGGCAGAACATGATTCCGGAAATGATAGTAAGTGTTGAAAAGATGCTAGAATCTTGGAAACATCACGAAGGGAAAGAGATTGAGGTGTTTGAAGAATTTAGGTTATTGACTTCCGAGGTAATATCAAGGACAGCTTTCGGAAGCAGTTACTTGGAAGGGAAGAACATTTTCGATATGTTGATGAAATATTCCGTCATTTCACGAAGGAATGCTTTCAAAGTTAGGTTTCCAGGCATCAGGTAATTTCCACCTTAGCCTAATCACTTAATGTATCCATTATCCTTTTCATGATCAGTGTCGTTTCCTTTTGGCAGTAAAATTTGGAAAACCTCTGACGAGATAGAAGCAGAGAAGCTTCTGAGAGTAATGCACAACTCCATCATGGAGATTATCAAGAGAAGAGAAGAAAAAGTGAAAATTGGAGATGTAGACAGCTTTGGTACTGATTTTCTTGGGTTGCTTTTAAAAGTTTATCACGATGTTGATGAGAACAAAAGGCTCCTTACAGAAGATTTGATTGACGAGTGCAAGACATTTTACATTGCTGGACAAGAAACCAGTAATTCCTTGCTTTCATGGATTGTCTTGCTTCTAGCAATCCATACAGATTGGCAAGACAAGGCAAGAGCAGAAGTGATCGAGCTGTTTGGTGACCAAAATCCACATCCTGACGGTTTATCTAAACTAAATACTGTAAGAAAGTTACTCATAGTTATTGGTAGTCCGTCTGTCAGTAGAACGCTAGACTCTTAATTTCAGCATTTAAAATTCGATGTCTAGCAACTTCAAGTACCAATTCTAGATTTTTCTTAATTTGAATGATTGAAATTCTTTTTCCCACAATTGCAGATAACCATGATCATCAACGAGGCCTTGAGACTGTATCCTCCTGTAATTGGGTTTGTAAGGAAATGTGAAAGAGAAGTTAGATTGGGGAAACTCATTCTGCCTGCTAACCTGAACTTGTTCATTACAAATTTGGCAGTTCATCACGACCCTGAAATTTGGGGTGACGATGCTCATTTGTTCAAACCGGAAAGATTTTCACAAGGGGTGGCTAAAGCTACAAACAACAATGTGGCTGCATTTTTTCCCTTCGGAATTGGGCCTCGAACTTGTGTAGGTTTCAACTTTGCAACCGTGGGAACAAAGATTGCTCTCCTAATGATTCTGCAACACTACAGCTTCACCCTCTCCCCAGCTTATATTCACTCACCGGTTTTTCATTTTACACTTATGCCGCAACATGGAATACAGGTTATCTTGCACAGTGAGAAGGATCAAAGTTATTGAATTGACTGGTTCTGGGACTTCAAAACATGAAGAGAGAGTAGATCATATGAGGCCAGAGCCGGGTCTAAGTGGGTTGGATTTGGGCCTAAGTTAGTAATATTAAAATCAGGCTATCCTCTCTTGAAACTTGAAAGACCCAATCTTATTTTCATGTTAAATTTTAAATTACAATTTTAATTTCTTTCTCGAATATTTAATTCAATAACTGATTCATAATATTTTTATTCAAAGAGCAAATTCGAAGATCTCCTTTTCAAACAGAAAAATCACTTATTTATAAAATTAAAATGAAAACGGACTATAATTTATTTTTATAGTAGAATATGGCACGGTAATTAACATCTAAAATTTACAATAAGATAAATATTTTAATGTAGTATATATATTTTGGAATTAAGTTTTTTTTTTTCAAATAAAACCTATATTGTACATAATTTTAAGTTTAATACTAAGAGCAAAGTCATAAGATATAACTTTTTGAAATGCATTTTATTAATCATACTTGATCTTAATATGATATTGAAATATTACATTTTGTACATATCATAACATATGCAATAATATTGCAAGTTGCAACCACATAGATTGATGATTATTAGAAGATATATTAAGATCAAGTTTGAAGTGTCAAATGTTGGTTTATTATTTGTCTTATAATCTTTTTTTTTTTTTTTGGTAGGACACTTTATCAGGTAATTGGAACATATGATTATTTTCAACTTTCTTTTCTTGTTCAAAGAAAAGGTATGATTATGACATTTACTATAGTCAGATTGATTATATGCTTCTAGAAGATAATCTAATTAACCAATGATAGTGGCTGAGAAGGTTGTACAAATGACAATAATAATGTAAGAAAATTTTGAGTTTTACATGAAAATTATGAATTGTGAGACAAGCAATTAATAAATAGTAAGAAGGGAATTTTAAAATTTTGAAGCCTTTATACAATAAAAAAGAGTAAAAAATGTTAGATATTAACTCAAATTTTAATTAAAAATTTACTTGAATTTCAATAAAATTTTATTAGTTAAACAATTATTTAATAATTAAAAATAAATATTTTTAATAAGTAAAAGTTTTTAGTAAATAAAAATTATTGATAATAAAGTAACGAAACTCTATAAATATAAAATAAGTATTAATTTTTATAATTAAAAGGAAGAGTTATGAAATCTCTATATGAGATATAGGTTTATAAGAATGTAAAAAAAAATATATTTAAAAAAACATAAATTTCATGGGATAAAAGATATTTCATAATAACATGAGTATAAAAATAAATATTAAGAGCATATGTTTTTTTATAATATGTAACTTTGATCTAATGTATAATAAATTTTAAATTGTAAATAATTAATATAAATTAAATATTATTTCTCGTGTGTGATTTTTTGATTGTTTCTAAATGCCTTTCATGATTTGGATGAGAAAAACAGGCTTTCGATAGAAGATTTGGTAGATGAGTGTAAAACTTTCTATTTTGCTGGACAAGAAACAGCTAAATCCTTGCTCATATGGACGATCCTGCTTTTAGCAATCCATACAGATTGGCAAGAGCGAGCAAGAACAGAGGTGATTGAAGTATTTGGTAATCAAAACCCACATTCTGAAGGGATTGCCAAACTAAAAATTGTAAGAAAACTGTAAACTCTAATCATTTCACTAGCATACATTATATCTTTTAGAATGCAGTTATAGTTTGACGCATTGATTCCAATTGTGCAAACTGATGACCATGATCATCAATGAAACGATACGATTATATCCTCCAGTAAATGGCATGGTAAGAAAAGTTGGAAGAGAAGCTCAATTGGGAAAGCTCATCCATCCTACTAATATAGAGTTCACCATCCCAAACATGGCACTTCACCATGACCCTGAACTATGGGGAGATGATGTTCATCTTTTCAAACCAGAGAGATTCGCTGAAGGGATAGCCAAAGCTACCAAATACAATGCGGCTGCATTCATTCCCTTTCGATTGGGACCTCGCTCTTGCGTTGGTATGAGCTTTGTTACCACAGAAACAAAGATTGCTCTCTCCATGATTCTGCAATGCTACACCATTACCCTCTCCCCAGCCTATGTCCACTCACCATTAGCACTTCTCACACTTAAGCCACAACATGGGATTCAGTTGTTGTTTCATCCCCTGCATGAATGATGCTTACAGTACTCAGCTGTTAATATCCAAAATGATAAAATATAGTATTTTATCAATAAAAAGTGGATGAAAAACAATTTCTAGCAATGTTAATGGATTTACTGTATTAATTTCCAGCCATGTGATGATATACTAAACGAAAAAATTTAATATTAAACCATAATGTAATAACAAATTTAATATTTATCCTTAGAACTTTTACTGTGCATATAAGTACTATGGACAAAATCAGCAACATTGCAACATTTAAAATGTACACTTCCAGGCAATATATTGATAGCACCTCAAACATTCATTACTGTAAATTCCAAACACAAATGTTAGTCATCAGAAACCACTTCACAACTACAAGACAGTGTGCTACTAACCTGCTGCAGATTGGGACAAAGATGAAAATGATATACACCATCCAATACTGTCAGTTTCTTTCTGTTTCCTTTTCCTTTGGCAAAACCTAGAATTTTAGCTTACTTAATTTGTGCTCTTATCAGGTTATGTAACAAAAAACAAGAAAAGATAACTTTGATTTTAACAAGGATTGATAATTTTAATAAAGCAATTAGATATGTAATGAATCAGCATCTGATTACTTTATCCTCACTTGATATATTGGCAAACTAGATTGTGGATATGTTTTGGCTTATGGTAATTAATAAAGTAAGTTTTTAAATGTTCTGCCTAGTAATATAGAAGCTTTTAAAAAAATTAAAATTATCCACTTCTTAATTTGAATAGACATGATGATATAACACAAAAATGTATGAAAAAAAAAAAAAGCAAATTTAAATTTGATCAAAAAGGATACAGATTTGGTGAAAATCACAAAATATATTTTATGTTTAATAAATTAATACAAATTACGACACAATAATTTTTATATTTTATATAAATTTAACACGTAACATACACAACATAAACACACAAATTATTATATCTACCTGAACTAAAAGTAAAGAGGTGATCAAATAGTTAAAAAACTTATTAAATCAGGTTAGATTCAAGAAACTAAAGCAAGCTTAGTATTCTTGGATTTCTCTTACTTAATAAACGGAATAGTTTTTGTTGAAACAAGCAAGTGACAATGCAAAATTTACAAATTCATCGTCTCCCCAGCACACCTCCACTCACTAATTGTGCTTATCACATTAAATCCGTGCTGACTTTTGAATCAATTGGTATAATATTAAAACTGATACTTAAAGTTTACGAGTTTAAAACTATTTATGAATGTTCTCTTTAATCGAACAAGTATAAAGATAGAAAATTCATGGGTAAAATTAGAAATATTTTTTAAAAAATCCCATCATATCCGCAACATTTTGTCAATTAATAATCCATTCTCAAAGATGCACTATAAAATTATAACCTGACGGTCCAAACCTCTAGCAATGATATCTTTGCAAGTATTTACAAGAAACTGCTTTACACTTTTAACCAGTTCACCTGATCAGAACTGGCAAAAAATTTCTAACATATGCAATATCAGAAAAAAAAAGTGAAACCCCAGTGGCCAATGAAACAACAAAATTTGCGTTGTAGTAACAAAATTTGAACCTTTGTTAGAATTCAGTGACATGAAGCAGCCAAAAATTTCTCCTTCATGCGAGAAATGAGCTTAAATTTTTCCTCCGCCTCAACCTGCTGGCGTATATCAGTTTTAGATGCTCGATCAGGATGAAATCTTAGCAAGGCTCGTTTATAAGCTGCATGCACCTGAAATGACCATTAATCTTTGTTAGAAACAACTTTACATTTTAAGATGCGTAAGTTCACAAGTTGTAATCTGCTCATGGCCTCACAGTGCAGGAAGTACATCCAGAAGTTAATGAAGTAATAATGTGATTACTATTCTAACTGCTGCAACGTAATAGAAATGGACCACCCAATTTGAGACTAGTGGATACTGGGATAGCAAGATACACATATCAATCAAAATCTTCCGGGATTTGCATTCAAAAGAAACTATACTAATGTTGCCAGAATATAAACAGATTCCAATTTTGCTCACCTCATCGGACATGGGATAATAACCACCATCTACAGGGACTCCCAAGCAACGAAGTAATGAGGCCATATCAATGCATGATATTTCCAATTTACTAAGCTCCTTTCTTACTTCACTTCTTAGTTGCTCTTTCAAGTTCATATTTTCTTCATCCTGAAGTAGAAATCATTTAACAGATTAAGACAAAATTATTCAAATACAAGGGATTAAAAAAGGATCTACAACCAACTCGCAAGGAGAATAAGAAAAAAATCAATAAATATCTCTACCTTCTTTTGTGACTCTCTCATTTCCTCCAGACGTTGCTTTTGCCGTCTCTCCATGTCTAATAGTCGCATACTTTCAGCCTTTTTTCTTTTCCGCATTCTTTGAGCCTCTTCTGCCTGAAAAAGAAGTGAGTTTAAATACATGCTAAAAAGTAAAAAATTCAAAATCAGTGTTTTAAAGCCAATGTTAAATTTGAAAATTAAAAAAAAATAAAAAGATTAAGTTGATTGCCTCTTACATGTATATGTCATGAGCTAAACCTGAAGCTAACACAAAATAGCTAAACATAAGACTGTTAGTAAGACAGTCATTGAAGTTTGTTTAACAAATTATTTGTGGATATGTTGTTTACAAAATTAAACATTGAGTTAACATCATAGAGAATGACAAACAGACCCCAAAAGAAGCGTCTTGAAGTTAAAAGAGTGATGAATAAGCACCAATTGCATCGGCAGACTTTCTGGCAACTGAAAGACCACACCACCATTTAAACATGGAACATTCAAACTTATAGTAGAATGCAGATTACTGATTACCTCACGGTCCTCACCCGAGCAACTGCTTAAATAATTACAATTGCTTGTTCCTAAAATTCTAGCAATAGACTGAAAACAAAAAGAATAGTCCACACCAAAAGAGAGAGAACTAATAGTTTAAGTGCCAAACCTGAATTTGTAACTCTCGCTGCCTAGATGCCCATTCTTCTTCCTCAGCTCGCTTGTATTCATCAGTCTCCTTGTGCTTTTCTCGGTTAATAATTATATCCTTTTCACCAGAAGCTGTAACATCAACACCTTGAACATTCAATGTAACCCTTTCATCATATTTATTACCGTTGGACACAGAATTAACACTTGATTGCTCTGCTCCAGAACTGAATTGCTTGACTTGAATTTCATCATACTGAGAACTGTTCCTGGATAGCACCTTCTCTCTATCACAATAATTCTTACTCCTGACTACTGGCATTCCATTTCCACCTAATGGAATCTTAACAGAAGAGGATTCGTCAAAAACAGTTCCAACTTCAACATCAAAAGGAGTCATGCCAAGGTCAACCCGTTTTTCATCTGAATATTTAGCAATTGACATCAATGATTCTTTGGATTGTAGCTTCTCTTGTCCATTTGAACCCGTTTTTCCATGCTGCAAGTCACTTGGGTATGGCTCACAATTTGAGGATGCCTGAGGAAACTCTTGATCTCCATCCCTTGAAGGAGGATTTTTCATAAATGTTTCTGTTCCAAATATCACATCAGCCTGAACATGAGAAAAATGTGGTTCAGCATTTGGCCCATATTTTGGCTGTGAAAAGCTTTCATGGTCAATTTTCTTATCAGATTCTACAGAAGGGCCTTCTGTCCTACAATTAAGACAAGTACCACGCGAATAACTATCTCTATGAGTCTCAAAGGCAGAAGAGTTCTGTTTCTGAATGTTTGAATCACTTGAACCAGATGATGCAGGGGTTTCAGCATGTTGTTTGGTTTGATTTTCTCCTTCAACTCCTGGAGTATCATTACATAATCCCGAGGCACTATTCTGGTCCTCTAAACCAGATTGGCCATTTCTAACATTATATTTCTTTCTTTGGAAAGCTTTCTCCCACTCTTCACGAAGTTTTCCAGCAGAACCTTCCATGACTTCACAATCAGAACAATCACTTTCAGATATGCTATCCTCAGACTCAGGACTTAAACCAAAACGTTTTCCGCAAGGAGGCTCAGTGCAGGTTTTCTTGCACTTTGATAATTTAAATGCAGATTTCTTTTCCCTGAAAAAGTGGCATTCCTCACCATTTAAGCCTGCAGATTTCTGCGGAAAGTCAGGGGCAGGACAACTTTTACTTGAGGAGGCATCACTATCCAAGTCACCACCACATTCAACAAAAACATTGGGATCACCCATATCATCAGTTTCATCATCATCAATGCTAATTACACCTGGGGAAGGAAATTGTTTGCCTCCCTTTGACCTACTGGAACCTTGTAAATCTTCCTCCACAGATTCAGGAGCATCAATGATTATAACATTCTCACATCTATCACCATCCACATCAATGAGAACAACATTCTCAAATTTCCCTTTCATGTTGCCACTTTTCCGCGTTTTCTTCCTGGAACAAGATTTAGGTTGAGAAAGACCTCCCATCACTCCTTTCCCTCTCATTTTACTTTCACTTCCTCCTTTCCCTCTCATTTTGCTTTCACTTCCTGTGTAAACAAATACATAAAATACCCATGATAAGTTAGTAACAAGAATACACAATCTATAACAACCCGTAACAATAATATCACACCAAGCTTTTATGTACATACATCTCCCCTTTCTTAAACTTATGAAAAAGAAAATATAAACATATAGTTTGGCACTCTTACATTCATAATTTTACACGATTATCAATAACTTTTTCCAGTTAAGCAACATTTTTAAGCATTTTATAATGAGAAAAAATAGCCCAATAACAACCATAATCAAAACATAGCCTTTTTATACCAATGTACAAGTATTTAAACCCCTGTCTCTGGTTCAACCATTATCGAAGTTGGCCTCAATATTCAATAGCATAATCTAATACACACAGAGATCGTGAAGTTAATTAATTGTTAAAAAAATGTTAAAATTGAAGCTTGGCAAAAAGATCAAACCTCAAAATTCTGAGAAACATAGCTCATCACATAAAGATTAAACAGATATTTTTAAAAAATTCAAGCAAAGTCAAATAACCTAACAAACTTGGACTCACTAAATTCACAGATGAAAACCACAAAAATACCAAATATAAACCCTAATTCCAGTCAGCTTCTGCAAACTCGAAAACGAATTAAAGAGAAATCACAAAAGATAAGATTAACCACGAAACAATCACCATAAAAAATTTTAATTTTGACAATAAGAATAAAATTAAAAGATCAAATTACTAGGATGCAACGAAACGAGCTTACCTTAATCAAAGTGACCGGGAAGAAAACTAAGAGAAAGAGAAAGGATTTAAAGGGAAAAGACAAGAGATTTACTGCGCGAGATGAACAGTAAGAGCATTTGCACGATTGTGGATTGGGACGCTAGGGTTTTGGAAAATTTTGGTGATGAAAAAAATGGATTTCAAAACAAGTTTTCGACGTAGTATCAAAACGGGAAAGTTCGAGGAAAAATAATAAAAAATGAAATAAAATATTTTTAAAATTTTTAAAATTAAAATCTTGATTCTTGTTTGACACGCACGAGGCCAAAGGGAGAGGGTTAACGGCGGTTTATGTTACGGTTTCATCCACTGTGATACATGGAACGTCACAGACGATGAGATGAGGTGTCAGTTTGCGATTGGTCTAAAATTGTTGCATTAAGAGGGGCATATTCGGAAGTAAACGCCATGAGGGTGTTGAAACGTGCAATGGGAATTTTCGTGGAAGTTTATGTGAGTGAGCGTTACACAAGTTCATGGCGCCTGTTTTTGTTATTTCTGCCTAATTTCCAAAATGATATACTTAACATTATGTTTGAATTGGAACGGAAAACAAAAAAAAAAAAAAGGTAATAGAATAAAAAAAAATTTATTTAGATAAATTTTTAATTTAAAAAAAAACAGATGTGAAAATTCAATAATTTTTTATTTTTCTTGTAATTTTTACTTTTTTAATATCTTAATATAAGAGAAAAACTAACAAAATGAAGTTAAAAAAATTTTACTTTTATGAAAAAATTATTATATTTATATTTTTATTATATCAATAGATTCGATTATATAACTTATTCCTTTTACAAAAATATATTTTTATGAGTATTTTATATAATATTACAATTTACAAATATTTTATATTTTTTAAAGTTTTAACAACAAAATAAGTTAAATTGTTATCAGAATAAATTAAAATATTATATTAAACATAAAATTATGAGTAAATAAATAATTAATTAATACATTTTATCATATTAAACATATTTAATTTTATTCAAAAAAATTTATTTATACAAATTAAATAATATAAAAATTATTTGTATATTATATGCTACTTTATAATTCTATATTTATTTTAAATAAGTAATAATTCTATTTTTTATGTCCATAAAAAAACATATTTTTATGATATTTTATTTCTTTAAATTAAACATTATGAATTAATAAAAAAATAATATAAAAAGATATTAATATTAAAACTTTTTATTAAATTTTCATAAATATCAAATAAAAACAATTTAAAAAAAAAAAAAAGAGAAATGTATGCCTTATCAATTGGTAAAAGTCCTTTATCTTCCTCTTATCCTGTAAGCTTTAGTTTATTTATAAGATTTGGACACAAAACCTCAAATTTTACAATAAAATCACAAGTTTTATGTCAATTTAATTTTTAATTAAGTATTTATTTTTTAATAAATCCATTTTTTTAGCTTAATTGAGTTAATTTTTTTAGATTTGATAATTTAAAATATAACACGATTATATAATATAAACAAAATACAAAAATAAGATACGAAAATAATACAATTTAAAATTATAATAATAACTATATATAACTTTAATAAAATTAAAAATATATATTTTAGATTTTTATTTTTGAACAAATTATGACATGTAATTTTATATAAAACATAATACGATACATAAATTTTAATAATTTATAGAATATAAATACATAAATTGTCATATTTATATTTTCTTTGATATCTCAAAAAATTTTAACCATATTAGGCAATTAGGTCCAAGTCATTTTCAAAGCCCAATTCTTCTCTCTAAAAGCATCCCTCTTGAGGTTTATAGTGAACCCAATATTTGTTGATCATGTCCAAGGAGTTTATAGATGGTTATGAAGCCTAAAATTCAATTTGAACCATTTACAGACGTTTTTGTCTAACTCAAAAGTCTTAAATTGAGACTCTCTCTTCGTGCTCACACTTAATTTTCAAGTCCTAAAATGGTTAAGGCAATGAGGATTTCTTTTTATTATTTGAGGAAGGAGGGGGTCGGTTCTTACACGGAGTTGAAGAATTATGTCTCATTCATTGAATCAAATGCTTAGATCCGACAGTATGACTAATCAGGATTTTTAGCCTTAGGAGAAGTGATCAACATGAGTCAGCTCAATTGTCCTGTTAACAGAAACTCAGCTTTGGTCTGTGAACCTATTTATTGCCACCTCTCCACCTTGCATTGAATCAAAACTCAGGAGGGTCATGAACCTGGCCAGATTCTAAAACAGCATGATGGTTATTTGGACCTGTTTTTGCTACAATCAAACGGTTCATTTTTGGAAAACTACTGAAGAGTTTCCATGTTTGGTGGCTGAAAATTAATATATCATCTGTTGGATTGTTCTTCCAATCGGATTGTTCAATTCTAGTGGGAACATTGAGTAAAATCATGAACCCACGAGGCTACATGGGGGAGGCGGTCCACTTAGAGCCTGGGATACCATAACAGTATTAGTAAAAAAATTCATAACTTGTCAAAGTGATTATTTTCTTTTGGTGGCAACTACATAATCTAAATCTAGGATCATATCGAGAAACTTATAAAGCATACGATTGCTTGGATAAACTGTTGATATAGCCATTGAAATCAATGAAACGTGATGCTTCTTCAAATATTGTTAAATAGATCAGTTTTAACTCTTTAGAATAGTATAAAAAACTGTTCTCTTTTTTACAAAGTGGAGAGAGCAAGAAACAGAAGAATATGAATATAAGAAATAGTAATGACAAGGGCAAATCTGTTAAATATACATGATATCCAATGTGAAACACAGGGAAATAAGATCAATCACAAGCCATTAGCAAGAAAGACTTATGTATTTCGGGGAGATTTATTTTGCTGTACTTCCTTCTTGATGAAGATAAGATGATCCGAGCAAAGAAGGCAAAACTAGAGGAGATAGTAGAGGAATGGGATCTTTACTTTCATAGAATGAAGATGAAGATGTTGCTGCTGCTACCGCTGATGATGATGATGATGAATTTAAAGTATTGCATTCCATTGCTTGTGATGCAGCCTTATGTTCAAGAGAAGCGTTAGGCTTAACCTGCAGAGGACCAGGGGCTCGCCTTTGCAGCCTACTAAGTGACTTTCTAAATACCAATTCATATTTGTGAACACAAATTTGGAAGCCAGCGAAATCAGAACCAGATTCCTCCATTACGTCTCCTCTTTCTCATGTCTATTGCAGTCCCTTATGTACTCACTTAGCTGTAATTAACGTTGAGATACAGATCTTAAGCAATTAAGACGGTGATTAAAAAAAATGTCTATATTATATAGATAAGAGAGATACAGAACAATTCTAAGTTTCTAGCAGATGCTTTGTTTGCCTCAGAATACAGTATGCATCTGTGCTGTGTGATGCGCAAGCATGAAATGACACGTCATGGGAGAGCTGCAACGTGCAAGCTCTCTTTAATTAACTGTATAATTTAGATCTGCAATAACTAAATGTATTTCATATGCTTAGCTCTTAGTGAGTCAGTCCTACATGTGGAGGGATGGGGTTTGCGCTGTTGCTATATTGCTTAAGAACTTGCATTTTGCATATCTGCCATGTGAGGGAGGAATCAATGCACACAATTAAAGGACCTAAAGTTTTCAGTGACAAGATCCTCAGAAGCACATGACATTACTTCAATAGTTTAATTTAATTAGTAATTTACCATTGCATTTTTTTATTTTTTTGCCTTTTACCCTTTTAGTCCAGTACCTTCAAATCAAGGTTTCTTCTCTTCTATATTTACTATATTTCATATTATTTCTATTTTTGGTCGTGACATGAAGTAGTGATGGTGCATCAGTTCTCTTTCTTCCAAGATGCATGAATGCTGATAATTCCTCAGATATATACCCAGGCTTACAGCTGTTTCCTGTCAGGGGAAGACCAGTGATTGATTTGGTTGCCCCTTATCAAGTAAACTAGCAAGGAAATAAAATTCAGATAACAAAAAAGATAGAACACGTTTTTTTATTATTTTAAGGTGGAAGGGCAAGCATGTTTTCATGTTTCAGCAGCAACTCATTCAACTGTAACATTAGAAGAACATGATATACTCGTGCAAACATCATCCTTACTCATTACTACTAGTATTATACATGTTTTGTTTCTACATCAAATTGCATCAAACAGCGCAACCATGATGATACTGGACTGCTGAAAGTCTTCAATGACCAAGTTGAAAGAGAATTCAAAAGGTAGTGAGTACCACCTTTACCAAATTATCTTTTGCATGATGCAAACATTGCTGGAAAGACAACCACATATTGGTTTTTGTTTTTGCCAATTATATGCCCACTTGGTGGGATTCATGATATTTATCCATATTGACCACCTTCTTCAGGTGGCACATCCATGTTCGGATAAGATCCGATATGCGACGTGGCAGTACCCTGCAATCGTGTTGCACGCCAGACAATAATGGTATCGCGAATCATACAGGTGGAGAAGAGAATTATTGAGTGTGGAAAAATACAATTCGGGAAAGGAAGACAGCATTTTCCCTTCACTTTCTTTCTTTCCACACTTTAGGTTGCGGTATTGGTGTGCTTTACATTAAGCTTTCATACTCACATTTTCCTCAGCATTTGGTCAAAAAAGAATGATCAAAATCGCTTTCGATTGGACTAGAAGTAATCGGATGAACCATTCCGGAAAAGACTCAATCAATGACTAGGCTATGCAAACAGACTCCAACAGGAACTCAATTTTTTGACAAATAAACAAACAAATAAAGATGGGTCTAATTCCAATATGGCTGGCTGCTAAATAGTTTAGTGGACCAAAGCAGAATTAATCAAATTAACAACTAGATATGAGAAAAAGATTCAAGGATAATAAAATAAAATAAAAAAGCAGCTGAGGTATTGTTTCCACAAGCTAAACCCATATCTAAAAATGGATGTCCTGATCTGAGAATGATGTTAAAGATTCGCATCAAAATCTTGGTAGAACTTGGAAACTCATGAAACGATCATTAGCAACACCAAAGCCGCCATCCTTATTTGCGCGTCTAATGGCGTCCTTGGTGGGATGATCAGTCAAGGAAGGTAGTCACCCACCCATTAAAAAATTCATTTGAAAATTCCACTGGCCTCATTTTTCTTCAAACAGTTCTAATTTAAATGGTTTGATAGTCTTTATGGCAAAGAAGCAATAGGTCAAATCTATGAAATGGGTCCAAAATTATAGTCAAAATGTAACCTGTCATTAATACAGATAAAATTAAAGATCGACTGACTATTTGAAAGAAAAGAGACTAGTTACGTACAAAAATCGGAACTCAATGTTTCATTTTCTGCTTTTGTGGATCCAACTTTAGATTGGATAAAAGGGGTGAGGTGGGAAATTTACAGGGCCTCCGAATTCTATCTATGGCTTTCCTTTACCAGAACTGATAAATGATTCCTAGATTGAACACGATCTATAGTAGAATCTAAGCTGAATGAGTTTTGATTTACATGTGGGGGGAGGTAAATATATTCCTTAAGAATAAGACCTAACCAAGCTGAAATTGACAAAAGATCTTTACTTGAAGAAACCACCAAAAAGGAACCTTGTTGGAGATTCCTGAGAAACTGATTTTGAGTCTTCAGGGTTGCCTTTAACTTTTAGTATAGTCTGCCCAATTACTTGCCGGATAAATTCTATGGTCTTTGAGTCAACAGGATAACCTGATGCATCACGAACATAGAATGTGTTAACGGCTTTGCCTGCTTTCGTTGTCACTTCTGCTCGGGCGACAGTGAGGCTATTCTCCCTGAAGATGCGAGTAACATCAGATAGCAACCCAACTCTGTCTGTTGTGCAAAGCTCTAGCTTCAAGCCCTGTAAGAGACGAGTTAATTAGAAAATATTAACCAGAGGGTTCCTTAAAGCAACAATAACACAGCAAAAATGTAAACGTCTGACAGAAGCAACCACATCATCTGTAAGGGAGACAACTACACATGAGATACCATAATTTGACAAAAGAGCCAGCAATGAAGCAACTAGAGATCTTTGACTTGAAAGTATGCAACAATGTTTTGATTATGACAACTTATATTACAATGTTTATGAATTCATGTTTACTGTACACAATATCATCACCAATCTATTTAAGTCGCATAAGATAAATTAACCACAAAAACGGCCCCGTAACTGTAAGCAAATTCCAGACAGACTAATTTATTTACAAGTTCTAGGATAAACACATGGAAAATGATTCCTTCACCCAATTTTATGTTCTTCTGCACCAACGCTAAATAAATGGTCTGAAGAAATCTTGATACTTTGATGCCATGAAATACATCATTAAAGTAAAATAATATGAATATCTGAAACAAAAATCAAGAATATACTCCCAAATTCTGATATATATGACATTGCACTCACCTCAGATACCCTTCTCTCAATTGCTGCTTCAAGACACTGAGTTACTCTTTGTCTCTCTGCTTCTGATTTAACAGGGGATCCATCTATATGCCGAATGTAATATTCCTAAAAAACACAAGATGTAATAAGCAAAGTGATTAGAACAAAATGAAATCAATACAAACAGAACCAACTTTCAATCCAAACTCATGAGAAGCAGCTAGGCAAAGAAAGAAGAAATGGCATTACCTGATAAGAGTCTGGCCCCTCGGTATCAATTTTTGCATGAAACACTACATAGTCCATATCTGTCAAGGTGCAAACCGTATCGAAGAGAAGTTTTGGTCTATCTTTACACCTAATGGTAACCGCTGAATAGTACTTATCATACCAATTAACAACATCCACATTAGGCCTTTGCCTGACATCCATGACATCATAACCTGTTCGTTCATAATCCCTATCAGCAAACATCATCTGGTGAAGCCTTCTCTCAGTATGTGTGGCTGAATGAGAGACTACAGTTTTGGCTAAACTTGATTTGTTGCTTCCCTTAAGTACAATGCAAAGAAGTGACTTTATCCTAGATAGCCTTTCTTGGTCAGTAATCGCGGTTCCTGTTTCCTCATCAGTCACTTGCATCACAGCTGCAGCACGAGTGTTATGTGTCCACACTTCAGCATTCACTACATTGCATTTAAGATGCCTAAGGACAGCACTCACTTCAGATAATAATCCTGGTCTGTCACTTCCTGTTAACTCAATTGCGGTGTGATCCATTGATTGCTTCAACCCAACGGATCTCATTGAAGATGAGAAGCAAGATTCTGGTCCAAGAGACTGAAGACAAAACCAAATAATCAGATTGGCATGTACCAAAAAAAAAAAAAAAGCAGGAAAATGAGGGGGAAAATGTAAAATCAATTAAAATTTTTACTGCTCACCTTTGTAATATAATCTAGAATCCCTTCATCTAAGATTTTGTTTCCATCTTGATCGGTAACATTAAAAACTGGTAGCAAAAAAAAAAAAAAAGAAAGAGAATCATTTGACTACATGGTAGACAACTTGATAATTAAAAAAAAAAACTTTTAAAAGAGAGAGAGAGAGAGAGAAAGAGAAGGTATATCTTACCATCCATGAACCAATTGCCATCAGAAGATATGTAGGCTTTAGTAACGATAAGGTTAAGATCAGTAAGGATTTGTACAACTTCAAGAAGGATTCCATGTTTGTTTGCACTATCAACCTGCAGTACAAAATGGTATAAGTATCAAAAGCTACCACAAAAAAGGGGAGATGGTCAAAAAGTGCAAAAATAAATAAATAACAAAGAAAATTAAAAGGTCATACATGTATCACAGTTGCATTCTTGCAGGCTTCATTATCAATGACAACCCTGACAGGAAAGGTATGTAAATATTGCTTCAGGTTTCCAATAACTCTAATGAAAGTACAACAAAGAAGAAGATTTTTTGCTTACCTGGGTGGGTTCATTCTTCTAACGAATTTCTCATATTCATCCTCTAAAAAAGAAAAAAAAAAAAAAATCAGCCAATGACAGACACTCTAAGGATAGTACTTCAACAAAAGAGCAACCAATCAGAAACCGAAAAAAAAAAAAACAAAACAAAACAAAAGCATATGCAAAATCTTAAAAAGGAATTTTTTTTGGGAGGGGTAAGGCCAAAAAAAAAAAAAAAAACTTGAAAACATATATGAAGAAAACGAGGGCAGATGAGTCAGAAAGGAGGTTGGAGAGGTGGGGGTTAAAACTTGAAAACTTTCAGGGGAGAAACAAAAAGTAGAACAATTAAGACGAGATCAAAAGAAGAAACAGAATATTGACTAAACCAAGCCAAAAAAACGCGAATCAAGACTCGAAAAAGTCATTAACAGACATAACCGAAACCACCCATCAACCCCTGCCTCCACGTAAAGAAGAAGAAGAAAAACTATTCCCACCCAAACAAAGACATTGAAAAAGCTTGAAGAAAAACGAAAAACCCAGTACTAGAAATAAAGCACAAATACCATAGCATAAGCTTCCGGCTCTAAAAACTTCGAAATTTTGTCAGCATCAACAAAAAACAAACATAAACTAACAAAACCCACACTTTCAGAAAAACAGAGGAGATAGAATCAAAAGAGCCTACCCATTATAGCTTTTTTTTTTGAGAAATTTGTGATCTGGGATTAACCAAAGTTGCTCTCTTTCTTTGATTCTCTCAAGATTTTCTTTTCTCGAATGATGGTAAAGAAAAACAAATGCAGAAATCTATTTCTATACTAAGAAAGAATCCTTAAGACTCTCCTGAATCACCCCACTCTCGTTAGGGTAACAAAAAAATTATTAGAAAATTTTGACAAATAATAATAATAATAATTCTTCTTGAATCTGAATCAGACACACCCCGACACGATACTCCAAAAACCTGTAACTTCTATAAGTACCCGCTCCGCTTCTCTCTCTCTCTCTCTCTCTCTCGCTCCTTCTTTTATTTCTTCTTTTTTTCTTTGGCTTTTCGTTTTCCTTGATAAAATTTTCCACTTAAATAAGGAGAAATTTCATTCCTGCCTAGAGAACGGCGTAGTTTGGCAACGAGTCATGGCGGCGTACTTTAAAGAAAAGTTGAGCTGGCAGTGCCAAAAGTGCGCTTGTTTAGGCTGGGGTTTTAATTGAAATAATTAACCCACGTGTTAATTAAGGGGGGTTTGAGATAGTTTTTTTTCCAACTTAGGTACACTAAATTTTTATTTTGAAATAGAGGTTTTTTTTTTTTACTTAAATTAGACATTTTAAGCCTCATCAGCACCATATAATTGTCTTAAGTGATCAAGTTGTCATTGTGGTAGTTGAGTTAATTTTATTTTTATTTTTTAACAACATTTTTGTTAATCATTTTTATCTAATTTGTTTGTACACTAAACAAATTAAAAGATAAATTATCAAATATATTAACAATGAAATTTTTTAATTTCACAAATATTGTTAACAAAATGACACATACTCTTAAAATAAATTTAAAAATAAAAATAATTAAAAATTAATATATATATCATTTTATCAATCCTACTTATGATATTAAAAAATTCTATTAATAATGAAAAAATAATTTTTCAAATAAAAAACTATTTTTATGAATTATCATTAATAATTTCACTTGTTCTTTGGCCTAAACATGTTGTGGTTTCCCTAATAAAAAAAGATGGCTTTGTTCGCTATGCAAAAGATAAAATCATGTTTTGCAAGGATTTGGGCGTCAATGGATTGAATTAATTTTGATGGATTATGTGAAAAAAAAAAAGAAGATATTTGTTGATTTGATGATAGATGCATTTCATTGGGAATGTAGGTAGAGTATGAGTAGGATAGAGTATTTTTCATCCACATATTTAAATTTTTATATTATATCTATCTTCATATCTATATTCAATAAATATTTTAAATTTATCTATATCTCCATATATATTTAATAAGTATGGTAATCTTTATATTCTTAATTTTTAAAAAAATTAAAAATTAAAATTTTTTTGTAACTTTTTTTATTTTTATATTGTATATTTAGATTTTTTTATAAATATATATTAATATATATTTTTTAATAAAAATATATTAATTCAAATTAATCTAAAATAATAATTTATATTATTTAATAAACATTTTATTTACTAAATATGAAAATATAGATAAGGTATTGGTGTAAGGTAGGTATTATATTACTTGTCACTATCTGTATACTTAATAAAAATTTAAAATCATACTCATCCTTATCTTCACACCCACAATATAATATTCATTCTCATCTCCGTTGAAGATAAAAAATCAAAATTTTCATTTGATATAAATAAGATTAACATCCTTACATTTCATCTATTAATATATGGCAACACACACCACTATTGGTAATTTGTGTTGCCATATATCGATCCTAGATTAGACAAGGTTGTTCATGAAAAAAAGAGAAAAAAAAATAAAAAAAATTGTTCGTAACTTTGTTTTTTGTTGATACCATAATTTAAATTGACGTGTTGTAATTTAATTGGTTAATTTTAAAAATTATAGTTAACATGATAAATAAAGATAATCAAAATTATGTGAATAAAATTGTTGCCTATAGAGTTCAACTACAAAACATTGTGATAATAGAATCTTAATCATTATTATCATCCAATAGTCCTATATTAAACACTTGTTGGACTTGACTTCACTATGTTAATTTATCATTAGTTTGTAGTTGAACTCAAAATTAGGTATTTGACAAAATCAATTAAGAAAAAAAACTTTTTGGCTTTTTATTTAGATCAATACCTTATTCGATTCATCTTTAGTGTTTGATATTTACAATTTAAATAAGAGATAATAATTAATGGCAAAAAAAAAAAAAAAACAAACAAAAGATAACTATTATCTAAGATACTCTATAGTTTTGAAAATTAAGCTTTGAATTATTATAATCCTTATGATTAATGATATAAAGGGACTTTTAAATTATAATAAAATATTTAATGTGATATTTAAATTATAAATTTATTAACTTATGTGATATTCATGTTTAATATAATTAGCTCCAATCGATAATATGTAACTCATAAACAATTCTTCAATTATTACATTAATAAATAAATTTATAATTGAAATATCATTAAAAATTTTTAAAATTTAAAAATTATATTAAATATTTTATTATAAGTCAAAGATTATTTGTAATATTAACACTAATCCTTATCTATTATATTAATGTTATAGGCCACTTGGTGTTTGATAAAAAGATTATTAATATGGTTCACTTTTTATTATAATTGAAGTTGTTAAAATTTAAATTTTAATTGTAAATTTTAAAATTTAGTATTTTATCAATAAACACATAGATTAAAGTCAAATATAAAAAAAAGAAAGTTTGAAGTTTAAATTCTCTCTTATTCTTTGAACTTTCTGGTGTACTTGCCAAAATAAATAAATAAAAAATCATTGCGTAGAATCAAAATGATTGTACTAGAAAAGAGAATCAAACTAGCTGATTATAGTTCCTTAATTGTTGATATATTCCAAATTTATTTCTCTAAGTTATTAATTAATGGTTCAATAATTCTTAAGAATATAGGAAATATATTTTATTCATTTTTTTCTTTTTTTTAACTATTACCATATAGGAAAAAGATCTTCTTGACCACTTAATCTAAGGGTTTTAAATTCATTTTCTACTAAATTTATGATTGAAATTTAAAGATTTTAAATTAAATATAAAAATAATAAAAATTAATTAAAAAAGCAAAAATAATTTGAACTAATTTCAACCATAAATTTAGTTAAAATATATTTAAAAACATTTAGATGAAGTAGTTGCAATTTTTATTTTTTTAATTATTTTTTAAGTAGTGGAGGAATCTTTCCTACAGTAACTTTTCTTTCTATTTCCTTTGTTTTTCCTCCATTTATTTCTATTTCTTTTGTTTAATTAAAGTTGAGATCTACCAAGTCATTGGCATGTAAAATTATTCATAAATACAATGTTTAAATTTAAACTAATGAAATTTTACCATATCTGGAGGGATAAAACAAATGCTAATATGTGCTTCTAATGTAAATATCTAAAAAAAAAAACTTTATTTATATAATATTTTAGTTGAATTTGAATATTTATCAATTAATTTTTTTCTAAAATTAATTTTATACATAAGAAATCAAACTCAATATATATATACATAAGAACATAATTTGTGTATCCAATTGTTCCAATGCTATGGATTTTATAATGTATAAAAAGTTGTCAATAAAATTTATAATGTATAAAGGCAACTAATGCCGGTCAATTTAAATGAGTAATGAAATTAATTCTGATAAAATTAAAAATAACGATAAAAATTAAATTAATTATCATAAAAATAAAATTAAAATAAATGACGAATATACGTTGATTTTCAGAAAATTATGTGACCATTTTAGTTGGTTTAAGGCTTTGTATAATTGATCAACTTCGATGAATTACTTTGCACTAATACTATCTTTATTATCGCATCCTTTTAAATCATAAATACATTAAACTGATGTAAAAAAAATATGTTTTCTATAAGATCGTTGAAACAAAAATTAGGCTCGAGCAAAGCATAAAAAACCCTGACAGTATTGGTGTCGGTGCTGCATCGATTGGATGAGCACGTATTGGTTTCAGAAGCAGAAATTCCATGTGGCAGGTGCATTGGCAAGGAAGACAAACGATGGAGGGCGTGATCAGGGGCTACAATGACTGAGGATGTGTAACCAAGAACAGACCAGAAGAGGGAGTTGGATTGAGAGGCAGCTGACAGCTGCTGGGAGAACCAAACTCTTTGGGAATTTATCTTCACCATCATTAACTTATAATTACAATGTTCCTATAAATGGTTTTTCCCATTTTCATGGGATTTCTCTGAACATGTAACCACATTCAACTTCTGTCCTAATCACCCATGTTTGAGGAAATGCATGTGGTCGTGCTTTCCCTAGGTTAAAGAAAGATAGAAAAGATCACTGGTATTGGAAATGACACCCCTTTAATTCACAAATGCCCCAAGCATCTGGTTGCCCTGGAAATTAGGATTGACATTCATTCCATTAATAAATGTTTATACATATATTAATAAGTGATTGATTCAATTGATTAAAATTTATTTTTTTAATCAAAAGATTTTAGATTTTAATCTTATCAATAATTACTTATTGAAATAATCTCAAATATACGATTTATAATCACTTATTTTAAACTGTTAAATATGACATATTTTATCTTAATTTAAAAGATTAAGTAATTCATTTGATTTTGGGTTTGAGTCTTATTGAATACAAGACTTGCAACCATCTATTTTAGATTGTTAGATATGATATATTTTATTTTAATTTAAAAAATTGAACCGCTTATCTAATTTTAAATTCGAATTTTATCGCTAATCATTTATTGAGATCATCTCAAATACATAATTTATAATTATTTATCTTAAATTAATAGATACAACACATTTTAGTTTTTTTAAATAATTGAACAACCTATTTATCATAAAATTTTCATACGAAAAAAATATTTGAGCACATGCATTCGGCTTTGTGTATGTGATTGGTGCATGTATGGTGATAGTCCATGCTTATTTCTCCGAGGAACCATATAGACTAGGAATCAACCATGGAGATTCTCATTTTTTTTTTTTTATACTTCTTGTTATTAATGAAAACAGAAACTTAGTCATATCCCTATTATTTTTTAGACGTTCTCACAATCAGTAGTGATAATATCTGGAACAAAAGAAATCAGAATTTCCCATCAAATGCAATACCTTTCAGATCCAACACAATCGATAATCACTGGCCCTCCGGTCTGTTTGACGTCCCTATCATTCAAGCAGACACAGAACCACGTGCCACTCTCCATAACCATATAAAATCATCATTCAACACCTTCTCTCCCAAACGTGCTGTCAACCACCAGTCCAATTGTCCCTAAATCCAAATATTAATATGAATAATAAAAATTAAACATAAAATTTAATTAATTATTTTTAAAAATTAATATTTAATAATTTTATTTTTTTATTTTTTATCTCTAATATAATAAATATTAATTTGCTTAACACTAATTAAGTACTATTTAAACACTAATAAAATCGATCATTAAAATCTAATTAAAGATAATTAAGTACTATTTAAAGATTAAATCGATCATGTTTGTATATTACCCATTGTTAATCATTAATAAAAAGGTTAACTAATGATATTGATTAAGAAAATATTTAAAGAAGAAAATATATGATTGATACATTATTTTTTTTTTAATTTGACGAAAGCAATGAATCAAATATAAACAAATTCAAAATAATAATTTAACTATCCTTAACCAATACACGTATTTTAAATAATTAACAATTAAAACATAAGGGTTTGCTAAAAAATTAGGTTTTTTTTTATGCCTCGTTTGATAAACGCTTGCATTTTTTTTCTATTTATATTTAGCTTTCCATTCTATTTTTCTTAAATACACTTTATCTTAATTTAAGAAACAAAATAATTTATTTATTCAAACTTTATATTTTCAAAGAAAAACGTGTAAAATGATCCAAAGTATGAGGAAAAAAATGAATATTTAAAGTGAAAAGTGAACGTGGGGACTGAACAGATGCACCGACCGACCTCTTCGTCATTAAAGCATACTGATCTTTTTTTTTTTTTAATTTTTAATTCTTTGGGAGTGGCAAAGGTGCACGTGACATGAGTCAGAGCGCGGACCCTGTGAGCAGAAATTACGTTTGGAACCAGCGTTGCTTATTCGTCTGTTAAAATTTTGTATTTAATGTTTCTGTTGAAAAACGAGTTTTTTGTCGGCTCAAATTTTGACCCGTATTTTGAGGAACGGGTCCTTGTTCAAGGTCTTGAGAAACGACGCAAGATAGGAAAGCTCCACCAAATTTTGTTCTTCCTAATTTTTTATTTTTCATATTTTCAAAATATTCATTTAAATATATATTTTTTTAATTGAAAATCCTTTTTTTCCATTTCAAAATTTATGAACAAGGTGAAAGTGAAATCATAAATATGATAATTTAAAATATAAAATGATAATAAGATAAAAAATAATATAAATAAATAATATAAAAATAATATAATTCAAATTTTAAAAAATTATAAATAAATTTAATAAAATTAAAATTTTATATTTTATATTTTTATGTTGATATTAATCATAATATATAGTTTTTATATAAAATATAATATTTTATATAATATAAAAACATGAATTATTAAATTGAAAGTGGGTTGGCCCCCGAGGTTTCTAGATGAAAAGGAGAGCATGTATTAAATGAAACGACAAGCAGGCCACGTTCTCGGCTACAGATTGAGGGTTGGGAGTCCCGCAAAGGAGTGGTCCCAAAGGGCCAAACAATAGTAATAGGCATAGGCCCATAAGCCGTCTTTTGTAGATATCCCAATCCCGCAACGCACCCCCATAACTGGTAGGAAGAAAGAGGACTCAGTACTCAATCCAACAAACGAATTCCAATTCACACCCAAACCAAAAAATATATCCACCTAAGGAGAAAGATGACTTGCGTCCAAAGCTGAACTTTTTTTTTAATCAATGTGTATTTGATAAATTTTTTTAATGAAAAATTAGTTAATTATATTAAATAAATAAATTAACCAATTAATATATAATTTTATTAAATTTAATATAAAATTAAACAAACCCATTCGTAGAGGTGTTTATTTAATTAATTCGATTAATTTTGAATCAAATTATCTAAAATCGAAGTAATATAATTATATTATTTTATTTTAATTAATTGAACTTAATTTATAAATTTTAAAAATTAATCAATTGATTTGATAAATTTTTTTAGTTAATCAAATAACAAATATATTTAAATTAAATTATATTTTAAACTCTTAATTTATCATATTTTATACAAATTAAACAAATTATTTAACAAAATATTTAAATACTAAAATATTATGTTAAAATTTTAACAACTTATAAAATAAAATGATTAATTTCATGCATTTGTTATTTTATGTTTAAATTATTTTATATTTCGATTAATTTAATTTTTGAATCGAATTAACTGAAAATAAAAATTTTTTAAAATTATTTTTTTTAATCGTTCGAAATTAATTTAATAATTGATCGATTAATCGAATTAAATCAATTTGATTGATTAATTTAATTAAAACTAAATTATGAACACTTCTTATCCATTCATGATAACATTTGAACTTAAATCTCAAAGTTTCAAAACTTTTTCCTTATAATTAACTAAGTTTTAAACTGGATTAATTAATATCATCCAATAATGTTTTACCTTGATTAAAAAATGGTTCCAAAATTTTCATTTAATGAATGAATTAAAACGAAATCTATCTACACACAGGATTTTATAAATACCATTGCTGTATCACTCAAAGGTCATGTAAACTGAACGTCAACAACTGCCATACGAACAGCCACAAAGCAACCAACCCAACAACTCGATTAATATTATCGTCCACGACTATCACATGAAAATTGCATTTGTTAACTTCGAGAACCTTAACTAATTGTAGTTACTAACTATATTTTTAGATGTGGTCACAATATCACTTGTCACGATCCCACAATTCAATAGGAGACATAAAAATTTTTATATAAAAAATTGTAATTTAAAAATAAAAAAATTATAAACATTGATATTTAAATTTTAAATTTATTAAATTATATCTTTTAAGTTTTAAAATAATTGTATTAATTAATTAAATTAAATAAAACACGAAATTTTTACGAATTTGTCTTTAAAAATATTTTGTTAATTATTACCACATTGAAGGATTTGATACTAAGAAATGATCAAATCTGAAATTAAAATTTTCGTTTTCGTTTTAAACTTTCTCTGTTTCTCAGATGTGCAAATTAAAAAGGAAAATTAGTTTTAATTCTAATAAAATCCAAGCCTACAATGTTGAATCTATTTGATAGATTTTTGCATCAACCCTAACCTTTCTGTCATTCAAATGTTGTTGTTTTCTAGGCATAAAAAACACGATGAACACGAAAGAAATTCTATGGTTTTCCTCCTTCATTTGCTGCCAAAGTAAGGTGGGTGAGGAGATTTGTTGGTTGAGAGGGTGGTAGCCGGCCCAAAGATATTATGCCTTTAATTTTCATCTTTTTAAAGCAAATTTTGAATTCTGAAATTCTAATCAAACACCAATTATGGTGGACATAATTAGAGTCCCAAATCGTCTTTATAGGCTTACAGCTGTTTTTTTTTGTTTTTTTTTTTATGGAATTTATCACGTGTGACAATGATTATTAATGGTGAGTGAGTACCACATAAAATATTAATTAGCCACATTTCTATTTCAACCAAACTTAAAAGAAACGACTCAATTGAGATATTATTTATTTTACAAAGAGATTAGAGTTTAGGATTAAAAAAAATCACGGGTAGTATAATATGAATTTTAAATTTATTAGATATTATATTTTAAAATTGATTATATAAATTATTTAGACTAAATAATTCTAACCCTTACTTATTACTTTTTAATTAACCCTTCACGAAATCCTTATAATCATTAATATCAATTAATACATCAATTAAAGAAGAATAATATAATTAGTTGATTCATATAACGCTAGCAGTGAACTTCCTTAGCCCATGATTTACACATTGTGCATACGACATATTGTGAAACTAAATGTAGATATTTTTTGGTAAAAAAAAAATGGAAGGTAGAAGAATTGTTTAATATTTTAGATCAAGATAAAATATATCATATCTAACAGTTTAAAATAAATTATTACAAATCATGCATTCGAAATGATTCTAACAAATTTAAAACTCAAATCCAACATTTCATCGAAAAAAATAAATTTAACCGATTGATTTAACCACTTGTTGATGAAACTAAATGTAGATTGATGTTTAGCTCAAGCGCTATATATTGTATTAAATTATCGGATCCAAATTATATGACTTCTAACTATTTAAATTTAATTTACCAGTGGTAAATGGCTTGTAAACTAGTTGTGGAACCAATCCTTTGTGCTTGTATGGACGGAAGACCAAATTTGATGAACGCTCTGAGCCCTGAGGCTTAGTTTTCCAGGGCTTTCTTTCCAATAGCCCAAAGGCCTGAACATGCCCCATGTCATATTTTTATAGCCCAGTGTTTGATATAAACCCAATATTAATTCATCAATGTTATCTACAAACTCATCATGTCATCATTTAGCAGTTCAGAGCAGGTTTTGAAACCCAATCTTCATCTCCTGTATTTTGGATCATTTCCACATCAACGGGCAGATCAAACGATTTTCATATAAATTTGATGCTTCCAAACAGACTCCAGATGAATTGTTTCCCTAGAAGCATTTGCAGAGTCTAGCTTGCAAGGTAAATTCATGCAGCTTTAACAAAGTGCAGGCAGAAATAACAGTGGCGAAAGCATAAGCCTTAAAGATCTTTTGAGTGATACAAGCATCTACACAAACTTTTTCTGAAGTTCTCCAAAGTTGTTGTATCTAGAGCAAAAAATCTCTCCTCCAGCCAAGAACAACTGCATGAAGGAGTAAATGAAGTTACCAGCATGCCACAAAGTGATGAAAACAAACAGAAGGAAAAAGAGGCTTAGAGAAGCAGGAGTTACTTTCATAATTCCACATCAGACACTCCCAATAAGAAGGAACTTGGATCGCTGGATCCTAGAAGAGGAGTGTATTCTGATCCTCTCACACGGACACTAAAGCACGCTGCAACAAAAAATTGTATAAGGGATCCAGCAAAAGAATTATCATGTACATACAAGTCGTGGGTGGATGATTTTCAACTCTTTACAGATCCTTAGATATTCAACACACATATAAAAACAAGAAATAATTTTAATTCTAGGCATCAGATAGAGTGTGAATGTGCATTAGGTTAATAAAGAAATCTTTCATAATATAATTCATGATGATTTTGGACAAGAAAACCAATATCAATATTACCATTCTCTATTTTCACTACACTTTGGAGCATTGTATCCATCTTTAACTTCATGTCCAAACTATCATCCATAAGTGGGACAACAAGAGTCAATTCCCTGTAAATATCACGTACAAACCGGCATATCCTCTCAGCAAATTCTACTTCACCATCAGATATTCGACCAATTGCTAACCGCATCAGCTCTCCTGTCAAATCTGCAAGCTGTAAAAGACGAGTAAACAACACTTCAATCATACATTCATGTGCATGTGTCTGTATGATTGGTTCTGTGTGTTAGACGACTGTGTATATGCATGTAAAATTCAGAATTTCTTATGCGTATGCTGGAATTAAGTAGGCACTACTTTAACAGAAGATATAGTGATATAAAAACATATTTGCATCAAATATTTTCATCAGCCTCTGCCTTCAAAATGCAGATACAAAAAGTAAGTAGCATAAAATTCAGCCAGCTACCCCCAAGAGATAGTCAAGGAGATTAATTTGCAAAGGCTCAAGTGATGGATCACTAAGTGGTAATAAACTAGCATTTATCTCATCAAGCTTCAAAAGAGTTCCAGTTTGGCAGAACTTGAAGAATGTTGCAGCTTCAACATACTCTTGTACCTGCAAAGACACAAGCATAATAAGTCAACTCAGTTGTTTCTCTTCGGCACTAAAGTATTAGAGAACAAGATGCCACCCCAGGAGAGTATGCTCGCCGAAGCTTCCAAAAATCAGTCCCTTGCAACTCTTTCACCAGTCGGGACATATGCTGATCAGTCACTGCTGCTAAATCCTTTTCTGCCTTTTCCAAAACTTCCTCCTTGTTGTTTTTACTGATTCTGTCATTAAGCAAACATTGTAGCTAGATAAGAATGCAGAAGAAAATCAGAGGAAAGTATATATCATATGAACCAAATTGAAAACAGTTCACTTTAGTGAAGAAACAGACTTCATACTGATAAGGAAAATTGATACTAAATACCAGCAAGTGGTACAATGTATTCCAATTGACTAATCGCATTAAGAAGTAGATAAATTGGCAATTGCCAAAAGAAAATATTATAGCATCAAAATCTTTGAGCAACAAAAAATGGTGACCAAACAAGTTTCAATATTACCTGTGCACCTGAAATATGACTTTTTTACTATTCATAGTCACATCACGACTGGCTTTTACCACCCTTTCCCGTTTTTCATTCTACAAACACAATTTGGGTTAATGAGTCTTTGGATAAAAGCATCTTCAATAATCAAGTAAATGCATGTAGAAAAGAAAACCCCATGATGCCAGGTAACTGTGTAGCTTATACATGACTTGCAAGTAACCAACTTCCCAACAAACCCAAATCCAACTCTCTTCCAAACAAGTTTCAATGCTAGAACAAAGGGCCCTCTAAGTCCACAATCGAAGAAGTATTTGTTATTTCCTATAACAACCATTTCTCCCTTTGTCCTGTGGAAATGAGGGTATAACGCTTCAAACTTGGTATCTTTATAGGCCAACTCATTACTTTATGCTTCCTAGGTCATGATTTTGACCCTTTTAAAGACCCAAATTTCAAAAATCTGAATACGTATAAAAGAATTTCAGGGAATCTATGCGACCCAAGCTGGAGCAAATTACAAGGAAAATGAAGATGAAAATTGGTGAAAAAGAGAAGGAAAATTACAAGGGCATTGAGATAATCAGTGTAGATAGAAAAAGCGTCCTTGATGGAGGAATGGGTGCTCATTGTATTTGCTCTTTTCACTGAACTCTCCAACGCCAAAGAAGAATCAGCCGCTTATTGAATTTTTTTTTTTTTAATTTGGAGTGCAAAGAAAGAATTAGCCAACAATAAAATAAAAAAAGAAAAAAGAAAGAAAGAGGGAGATAAAAATCATAATTTAAAAAAAAAAAAAAGAGAGAGAGAGCTTAGGGTTTACCAGAAGGAGGGAGGCGCTGGGGTTTGATTTTGGAGTTGGTAGCCATCAGCCACGACACCGATATCCTTCGAGATACTGCCGAGGTAGAATACAACCACAACATCTGTTCTTTTGCCACCTATTTCTTCTGTATGGGCTTTCACTTTTTTTTCCCCACAATTTTACATTTTTTTTCTTTGTTATTAAAATTTCTAAAAACATTTCAAACTATTTTATTTGTAATTTTTAACTTTGACTCGTCAAAGCCCGTTGGCTTGGGCATCTGGTGGACAGAAATGAGTGAGCAATTTAGATTTGATTAGAAAAAAATGTTAAAGGACGAAAAAAATAGGTTTGAGCGAAGGATTGGTTCGATCAATCGATTTAATTTTTATAAAAATTGAATCGATTGATATACATATAAAAAAATTTAAAAAATTGTATTGAATTAAAGGGATTGATTTCGATCAATTTTTTTGAACAAGTTGATTTTAATTTTAATTTTTTGTATTAAGTATATTTCTGTCATATTATTTAGATATATTTATATTATATTTTTTTAATTATTTATTTTATATTAAATTAAATATTTTAATTTATTCGATTTAAATATTTTTAAATAAAAATAGATCATTTTAATCATTTAAATCAAAATAATAATCAAAATATTTATATAATCTGAATTATTCGATTTGATTTTTCTTAAAAATTCATTTTTTTCAATTTTAATCTAACTTTTGCTTAAAATTATTATGTATTATAATTAAAATTTTTAAATTTTTTAATATTTTATTGCAATTAATTAAATTTTTAATTAATTTCTGAATTATAATTTATTAAACTTAAAAAAAATTAAAGAAAAAGGAAAAAATAAAAGTTATTTTATTTAATTATATATATTAATTATTTTATGTAACAATTATTTATTTATTTTAACAGATGCTTCCGATTCTGAACCTCACCTCTTTAAATCCTACAATCACGACGCAAATATTCGTAGTAAAAGCAAAAACATGGTGATATTAATAGTAGCCACAACCACCGATCCGGCCTCAGTCAACCCGGCCACGGCCCTCTTAGCCATGCCCGGTTGGATCCCCGGTCCCTCTTTGTTCCAGGTTCCTTCTTTTATATCACATTTTTAACAAAACAAAGCAAAACAAATTATTTTATTTTATTTATTTTTTAGTGTTTCTTTTATTATTAGGACATAAAAAGCTTTACTAATCAAAACGTGCGATTTCTTCAACACGACAAAAGCATTGTCGAAGAGGACGATTTGGATCACCGTTGGGAAGAAGCCACCGGCGAGGCCGTCGATGAGGTCATTTTCTTCAGTAAACACACCGCCGTTTCTAATCGCCCTGCTCTCACTGTTCACCCAATCGGTATTTGAAAAAAGATTACATCTTTTTTATTTTCTTTTATTTCTTGAGATCAAAACCAGAGATTCAAAAACTTGTTATTTTTTGTGCATGTGAAATGTAGGTGTGCCTCATTTGCGTGAAGGAGATGTTCCGCCGCAGGGTGGGAGGCCTGGTTGGGCGGCTCCGCCTAATCCTAGGATAGGGCCCTGGCTTAGGCTTTTGAAGATTATTGCCCAATCTCATAATTTGGTTCCTGAATTTGAGGTCATTTTAATTTATTTTATTATTGCTAGAACTATTCCTTTTTATTTAACTATTATTGTTTAATTTGGTTATAGATAACTTTGGAGGCTACACATCATGGACCTATAACAACTAAACCAACTATGTTCCTTGAGATTGGTAATGCAGGATCTTTTATTTTTGTTCTATTCAGTAGTTTAGTTAAAGCTTCATTTGTTTCACATTTACTTCAAGCTGGCCTCAGCTGTCCTTATATTTTGCATCGAAATCATTTCTTGAAGGAAATTTATGGTGAAATTTGACAAGAAAAATCAATAGATTAATAATTTAATGTAAAAGCGGCTATTTTGGTTGACATGGGATGGGATGAGTGTTGCATTTCCTTTTATGAAGTTGGGATAATATTCTTATGAGATTAGCAATTCAGAGTTTCTTTGAATTGATTTAAATGGTGACTCTTTGCCAGTCAGGTTTGGGTTGTTGTTTTAAGGATAAATATGTAGTTAGTAATACCCACACATGCAATCCAACTGAGGTGTAAAACTGATATAAGGATATGAATTTTGTCTGACTTCTTCATCTGCTACTTCATTGAGGCAAACTTTACCCTCCTCTGATATTACTAAGCATGCATCTCATTGTTTATGCATTGTCACTCATTGAGTGTGAGATCATCATTGGCACTACACTCAAGGTGTGACTCTTTTGCTTTTAAATTGATTGCTACCAAAAGGAAGAATGGTTTATGTTTCTGTGTTTACTTGATTCCAAGTGGAAGAGTTTTTAAGTTGTTTTATATTTGGACTCATAAATTTTTGTCTGCTTGATGCTGATAACCTTACTATACTGCAAAATAATAAAGCTCCTGTTTTGAAAGTTCTACAATGAGTGTTTAGAATTTAATTGCTCTCTTGTTTTCTCTGTGTTTGATATGGTTGATATAGGCAGTACAGATGAGTACTGGAAGAGGAAAGATGCTGCTCAAGTCATTGCTCTAGTTGAGTATATATTTATTATATTTCCTGTTTGAAGAATTTGTCACTAGGTCCACTTATTATCATGCTTTAACATTTTTATACTCTCAATATGATGCATGGAATTCATGGTACTATGTTAGAAGTGATAGGCTTTGTTCCCTAACTTTTTCTGTTTGTGCTTGAAGTTAGTTTGGGAAGGACTTGGGCTTGGAGGTGGTGATGCAGTTGGAAACTGGGGCAGGTACTGTCCAAATAACTGACCTAAAGATAATTTGGCTTTTCTTGATGCTCCCAGTACTATTTGTTTGCTTTAACTCGGTTATGCTTGAAAATTCCTATTATTGTTAAAGGAGCAGTTAGTGTTACCTTATTTTCTGGCATTCCCTCTTTGCTTTGTTTATCATAACAAAGAGTTTCTCATTCATGATAATATGCCTTGCATTAATAAAGTAACCCGGTCTTTATAAATTTTTTATATTCAAGGGAGAATGATAAAAACAAAGTTCTTCTTGGAATTGGTGGTGGACATTATGCTCCTCGACACATGGACATAGTCGTGTAAGTTACTTTTATCATTATGCTAAACTTTTAAACATGCCTCTCAAGTTTTTTATTCTCCTGCTGTTTTCCAGGAAAAAGAAAGGGAGGGCTATTGAAAGAGGTTTTATTCACTATTAATAACCTTTTCTTTGTGTGTGAACTACTAACTGCAGAAAAGATGGTGTTTGGGTGGGCCACCTGCTTTCTGGATATTCATTGCCAATGGAAGATCCAAGTCAGTCAAAAGTCAATGGACATACTGACAGTATTGGTGGAACCTGGAGGGAATCAATTAAAGTTGCATTTGAGGCTACAAAATCAGCTTTCCCTGGTGGGGAAGTTTTGGCACATCTTGATCACAAGTAAGTTAACTGATAAATTTTTTACATGACGTCATGTCTCTATGTTTTCATTCGTGTATTATTAATCTAGAAATATGTTTAAGTATTTGGCTTCAGCTAGAAGCAAGTAAGGATGGAGTCTCTCCGGGAGTTATATGTAGGTTTTAGCTCAAGAAAAAGAGTCTAAGAGCCTAGCCGGATTTTTTTTGTGCAACAGATACTGACTTGGTGTTAGTGAACATTGAAGTTTGGCTTGGGGATATGAACAGGTCAGAAGTAAGGTGTATAAAGTAATAAAAATAGTCTTTGATTGCCTTATTTCTTCTGCCTTTCCCAGCGTCCCCTTTCTTCTTTTTCTGGGAAAGGATCATAGATCCTGCTTACCAAGCCACTTTGGAGTCATTTGGGTGGTTGCTCATAGAGATTGAGATGAACAAAGTTTTCTTTTTGTTAATAAAAAATAATCACTTTTCTGCTCACACTTAGAGGAACTATTGCCATAATAAGAAAAAAAAAAAAAAGGATGGTGGGCTAGGTTTGGAAGGAGAGAAGAAATAGGGTCAACTATGCCTTAGTTTCCCCCGATAGGGCCCTGGTGTATGTCAAAGTTGCGAATAACATCTTAAACCTACAATTTCAGATTCTGAGATAACTATGTAATGCCATTTTTGGTACAGATCATGTCAAAGTTGTGAATAATATCATAAAGTTAAAATTTCAGCCTCTGGAGTCTGGATAACTAAGTGATGTCATTTGGGATTAGTTCACATGGATTGTGGAAGGGGTTCTAGATTCAAGTCATAGAGCACTTTTCATTTAGAAACACTTACGTAAACCTTATTGGTTCTAAATTTTTTTCATGAGTCAGTGCTCCATTTGGGAATGATTGCAAAAGCATATGATTACAAACAGAGTACATAGTGACTCCTGGATTTTCCGTGGTCACTTATAACAATTCTCATTGGCTGCTTGACAGAGTGGGCTCTAAGTGATTGCTGAAACCCAATTCCTTGTCCAGTCTGCACCTTTGTGTCTGTTGACAACTGGTGAAAGTTAATAAGGGGATAAAAGAAAATAAGAGGTGAAAAAATCAGTAGTAGAGACTTTAAATGTGTTTCAATTATTATCTGCCATAAGTTCTCCTGTTCGAGCACGTCTTAGATGCTTAGCACAACGCCCATTGATGCTTATTCATGATTTCAGGAGTTTCAAGAGCTGGCAGAAAAATGCAATATTTGCATTTTTAGGTGAGCAGAACATTAAAATTGGCAAGCCAAATGATTTCATCTGATTGATGTCGGGTTTTTGGATTCACCAAATTTCCTAGCGATAGCTGTTATAGGGATTTTCTTCGATTCAGCGGCATCTAAACAATTTTGGTCATGACGCAAGGCCTTTACCACATTTAAGGATGAATGACGTGGAAGAGCAGCTTGGGTGAGGATGATCAGAAAAAAGCGTTGCTGACATATAATTGCTTCGTGCTTTATATTTGGTTATTAAGACCTGTTTTACCTTGTTCATTTGTAGTTACAGCATGTTGAATGAAATTGTATCAAGTAATTAAAAAGTTTTATATTTATATCTTGCTGCATGCGGTAGCAAATCACTGATCATGAATACCTATGGCACTATTTGTTAGCGTTACGCTTATGGTGAGAACTCAATTGATATTACAAGTCATTAGTGTTCGAACCCAATAAATAAAATGCCGCGTATTTAGAATTTGGGGTTTAATCTAAATGATTAATATTTTTTTTTTAAGCGGTGAATTTTCACTAGGTTGGATTCGATTTATAAAAATTTTTCTTATTTTTCTCCTTGAGCAAAAAATACATATTTATTCCTGGTTTTGAGTAAGTGTAATTGATCGTATTTAAAATGATATAGTATGAAATTTAAGTTTAAGCTTGATTTTTAATTTGAGATTTAAAATTCGATTCGAGTTTGATGATATTTTATTCTTTTAGCTCAAGTTTGATTTGAAGTAAAAATCGAATAAAATAAAATTATTAGAGTTCGTTAGATTATATTTAATTAATTTGTAAAAATAAATTTATTTTTTATATTTGATAAAAATTTAATTATTTATATTCGAGCTTAAAATATTTTATAAATTAAAATATATTAAAATATAAAAATTTAATTATGTTTATAAGTTATTCAAATAAGATATAAAAATATTTGAATTCGTCTTGATTAATAAGTTATTTGAGCTTAACTTAATAATAATTAAGTTAAATTTAAATTTTATTCGTATCGAATTTAAATAACTTGCAAGTATTAATATATTATTTATAATTTTAAGTTTTAAAATCTTAAGTTTTGTAATTGGAAATTTTTATATTTTAAAATTATTAAGATTTGATTTTTAATTATTAAAATTACGAGTGATACTTTTATTTATAAAATAGTATAAATACTACTTCTTTCCTATCAACAAATCATATCAAGAAAATGTTAAAATAGCTACACTGTCCTCCCGCCAACATTTAATATTTTCTCAAATCAGCATCTTCTATGTGACCCCATGCCCTTGAAAAGTCTTCCGAAACGTAAACAAAGTGGGTCCAATCTCCAACGTTATAATCTCACTTGATTCTGGCCCTTCAGCCCAATAGCCAGCCAAGAGATTTGCAAGCCAGAAAAAATCAGCATTTTCCTATACATGACCATAGCCTTTCATTTTCTGAGCGCCTGCTATTGCTTTCAATTCACCTCTTTGATTCAAGTCGTCCAGTGGTTACTTAGCCTAATCAAATTTGACTTGCTTATAATGCCAATTGTCAAAATATTATTTTAGATTTGTAATATCATGAAAAAAAAATCAACTTTTGACTAAATAAAGCAGTGGCTTAAAGCATGCTTCTTTCCAGCCAAAACTGATATGGCCATTATGAAACTTGCACAATTTGCCAATCTTCCTTTGTGCTGTCAGGAACCAAATCCAAGGGCTAAAAACCGACCAGTCCTCCATCATTAACTTCATTCGAACCGTTAAATCAAAGCAAGACATGCTCACGAGGTCTTGATATATGGTGCTGAACATAGCATATGACCTTGGAACTGGGCTGCATATATTGAGTTGTCTTTAGTCAGGTGACAAGCAATGTCTTGCCTTCTCTCCTCGATGAAATCCAAAAGACCACATAATCCAAAAAAAAAAGAATTAGAAGGGGAAGAAGGGGGTTGATGCAAATTCATTTATATGAGTTGTACACTCGCCAAAACCAAGCGAATTGGCCGACCAAGTCACCTTCAGAAGTGGGTTTTTGTCCATTTGTCAATATATGTTGCGGAAAATTGAATGAGACCCACCAAAGAAGATCGCAGAATTAGCAGATTTTGTCTCCCCCACGCCTCACTTGTCCAATTCACGCAAGGGAGATCGTGCCATCTTGGCTGGTTTTGTCGTTTCGGATAGAGCTTGCTGTTTTTAAGGAAGAAAATTTATTCCTATTTTTTCACAAGAATTATTTGATTTTTTTAATAAAAAATTCAAAATAGATAAGCTATTTACTTCTTTGGTAAAATGTACCACATTAGATAAATTAAGAACAATAACTAGACATCTTATATTTGATGTAATTTCAATAACAAATTATCAATTAAATTCAAATATAATATTTTTATATCAAGATAAATGCTTTTTGTTAATTAAATTAATTTTTTATTAATTATTTGGCTCTTAGTGTTCGATAATATTTACCATTGTAGATTAAGCTTAGTCTAATAAAAAAATTGAACTTTGAAAACCTACAAATTAAATTATGAAACTATCACAATTCACACCATTGGAATTAGACCAAAATTAATGTCAAACTTGCCATGATAAAGAAGTGATTGATTCATTCCTTTTCCAAACTTGTACGACTTTGTCAATTGCTTTCATATTATTTATATTCATTTCTTGGCTCATTAATATAATATGACACATATGTTCACTATTAATCTATCATCTGATTAATGTTTTTTTTTTTTTTAAATCACATTTGATAGCCATGCTGGCCAAATTAATTGCACCTCAATTCATGAAAAAAGCCCAAAAATGTTGACAAAAATAAGTTTTTTAAGCAAAATTTTCAAGGAATTTATGTTTTTATAAAGAATAAGAGATTTGAATCCGATTTTTTTAGCATGGATTTACCAAATATTCAGATGTACTTTATTTCAAGAACTTGTTGAGTGAAACCCAAGTCATCTCTGTCCAAAAGGGCATCATAGCTTTAGAATCTAAAATTTCAAGAGATAATTTATGAAAAGAAAAAGGAAAATTATCTTCAATTGTGTAATTCAATTTTTTTTTAAGGAATCAAAAAGAAAATTAATCGTGAATTACTACAAGAGGAAATTTTATGATAAGAAATGAATATCAAATTTATATATTCACAAAAATTAAAATAAAATTATGTGTTATTACAAAAAGGTTTATAATGTTTTGTATTATTACAAAAAGGTTGATATAGTTCTATCTAGATTGTCAAGTCAAGGCTATATTCATGGAATCGTGGAAAATTAGGTTGAATTAAGAGCAAATGAAAACCATATGACTATATATAATGTAATAGTATCAATTCAAAAATCAATGTGATTTGGATTGAATTTGACTATAAGACAGTATTAAAATATTTTTGCATGATAAAAAAAATGGATAGAGATCGAAGAAAATTTTTTTTTAAATACTTAGTTTATTTCATATATATAGAATAATTAAACATTTAGCCAAAATAATAAAAGAAAAGAATAATTAAACAGAAAATACTAGAGATGTTGAACTTGCCCCATTGTTCAATATTGAATATAGAATTTGTGCATGTGAAACTGTTTCTAAGGTTCATATTTTATATAAGTATTTATTAATAAATCGTCCAAGCATGAGATTTAACTTAGGGATCCACACGCCCAAGAAAACCTTCTTTTTTGTCTTGGCTAATTAGGTCAAAACCTGCTTTCTATCCACTAAAAAATAGAGTTGTATATGGTAGATTATTTCACATTTAATAAAATTTTAATATTTTTTAATTTTATATTTAAGTTTGATTCTTTCATTTTACTATCAATTGACTTTAAATTAAATGTTTAGTATATTATCAGAATTAAAATTTTTTTCTGTTATCATTTTTAAATCTATCATGTGATAAATTTTTTTCATCTTCATCTATATATGATGGGACATGTTAAAGTGAGTTATCTCACGTTTAATAAATTTTTAATATCATATAATCTTATATTTAAATTAGATTTTACTATTAATTAATTTTAAGTTGAATGTTTAATAATAATAATCAAAAGAAAAAGTAGTTGAGATCAAGGGTGAATTGTGAACATGGCGTTATTAGTGCTTGATATTTATTTTGGATTTTTTAGAATTTTTTAATAAAAATAACATAACTTGAAAGTAAAATAAAAATTACAAATATTAAGATTTTGACTAAAATTTTGTTTAACATTAAATAAGGAGGACAATATGTCTTCAAAAAACAATATAAGAAGATAGGACAATTGTATTTAGTTTGAATCATGAATTGAAGATTATGTTGGGGAAAAGATTTGGCTTCCATTAGGACATCTCAATTACTAAAATATAAGATTTTTTAGATAATAAAGCTGTCAAAAATTGAGCTTGGTTATCAAAATTAAAACCCTAATATTCTACCAACATATTTTTCTTTAAAAATTCTTTTTAAGGTTTAAAGATCATAACAAAAGTTAATTTATCTCTTTCTTTATTACCCAAATTTGTTTTATACAAAAAAAAAAAAAGTCACTATAAAATTATAGTGACTTATATGTATGTATATATATAAGAATAAGAATTTTTTGCTTTTCTTATGTCTATCATTTCTTTCTTTGCCTCCAATTCTTAAAAAAAAAAAAAAAAGCGTTGGAGGGTTTAATTGATATAAAAAAATAATAAAAGATGGTCGACAGTATCATAATCTGTTATTAAAATGTTAAAATTTTAATTTTAGTGAATAAAATTTAAATTTTGATGATTTTAACTTAAAAAAATAATTGTGTTATTTATGACAATGTAATGGAAATAATTTGGTGTACAACACATATTCGGACATACTTTGTTGTAAAGTTTCCTCTTGCTTTTATTTGTTTATATGTGAAAAAAGAAATATCATTTTCCTTTATAAAAAAGAAAGAGGTGCCATCATATGGTGAGTCAAGGGTTGAGTGAAACAGTGAGATAGTGACACGTAACAGATACAAACTAGTACCGCAATTCAAACTGTACCTAATTGTACCTCATTCATTTCAGAAATCCGTTATGGCCTACATTTTTTTTCCTTTACACGGCCTTACGTCATCATTTATCAGATCATTCATTATCGTCCAGTCTGGCTACACGTGTCATTTAACCAATCCGTGATATCATCCAAATCGTGCGTTGCCTATCCCAAATTCCCAATAAAAGAGCAGGCTTAAGGATGAGGTTCTATCCCCTGTCCCACATTCTTTTCAACAGCATTACATCCATCTCTCATTAACTCTCATTTACAGTAAAATTATGAACTTTAATATTAATTAAATTATTATTTATAATTATTTTTATATAAAAATAATTATTAATAGTTATCTAGATTAAAATTTTCAATGCTTTGTGAATAATACACATAATTTTTTATATAAATAAATATAATATGAATAAATTTTTTCATTTATTTATTTAATCAATAAATTTTAAATATTATTTATAATATTTGTTAAATTTAATAAATACATATAAATAAACAAAAAATGAGTTATTTACAAACTATTTGTTGAGTTTTTTATTTATTACACCAGACAATTATGAATTTAAGAATTTTTTGGGTATATATTTACAATATATATATAAATATTGATAAATTTATTAATTTTATCAATAAAAATATATCCAAAAAAATTTTAGAGGTGTTTAAAAGAAAATTTTCACTCATATTTTTTTTATTTTTGAAATTTTGCAAAATATACATAAATATCTCTATTTTACATATAGTAATGAGCTAAATATAAATAAATTTTCTTATATTTATAATCATTTTATTTAATTAATAAATTTTAAAATATTATTTATAATATTTATTAAATTTAGTAAACAAATATAAATAAATAAAAATATATTCCGTAACAATATTATATTAATTTCTCTAATCATCTTTTACCGAATCAAGGTGAAAATAATCCCACAACGAGAGAGAGAGAGAGAGAGAGAGTTTGACTCGAAAAAAGCGGAGAAGGGAGGATCCGAGGATGAAACTGGACAAGGTGGGGGACCCAACACGAAAAAAAATTTTAAAATAGAGTAAGTAAATAAAAAAAAAAAAAACAGCTGAAGATCTCCACCAACAACTAACACGTGTACACGATGTCACCGTCATCTTCATCATCTTCACTGGATTCGCAGGTACACCTTAGAATTCCCTTGTTTCTCTTTCTCCGCCGTTTTTACTACAAAGAAATTTTCCGGGAAAAAAACAATACAAACAAAACAGTTTTGACTTAAAAAAGAAAGCTGAGATTCGCCGACATCTTTGTCAGCTAAAAAAAAAAGGTCAAAAGGAAAAGGAAAAGAGAAAAGATGGTATTTTTTGGCTTTTTTATTTTTCTTGTTGTTATTGCTGTTTGCTTGGGTGGAAAATTTGGGTTTCTTTTTTTGTTTTCGCTGAGAAAGGGAAAAGGTAAAGTGGCGTTATCAGTGTGGTGAATATGGTTCTAAAAATGGGTTGGGGATAATAAATGCTAAAACTGAACCTAATAAATAAAAGGTTGTTGTGGGGATATCTCAAATACCCGAAACCAAAAAAAGAAGGCAAAAAATTTGGAGCCGTTGGTTTGGTTTGCTATAGCAATTAATAACAGATTGGTGTGGAGTTTTGACCCTTCTTATTACATCTTTTCGATAATTACAACTCACTCATTTCTTTGCTAATTCAGTTTTTCTGGCTGTCTTTCTCTCTGCTTATTAACTCTGTTTTTCCACTTTCTACTCTTTCTCTTTGTTTTGCTCTTTCCTCTATTGTTAAAGGCCCTCTTAGAAACGCCCCAAAGCTTCTTCTTCTGCTCTCTTTAATTCAAAGTTGGGTTTTAAGCTTTGTTTTTAAAGCTTCTTAATTCCTATACAGGTAAAAAGAAAGAATGTTTCTTTATTATTTGCTTTGTTTCCTTTAGGAACACCCAAACTCCAAAGGCTTTTCCTTACTCATAGGATCCTCTTTGTTTCATTTGTAACCTTGTTTTTTACTTGGCTTTTGCAGTGAAGATTGGTGAAAGTTCAAGTTTTGAATCACAGAGAAGAAAAAAAGGTACAACTATAATTTATTCTAATGTTTTTTATATTCTATGATTGTATCTCATTTTTTGGTTTTTTGTATTTGTTGGGATCTGCTTTAGATCTTTGATATTCTCTCCTTTTGGTTTTTACTGCATCTTTTTCATGTATTTGATTTCAACCAATCTGGGATTTAAAAAAAAATAATAATTACAATGGGTTAGATCTGTTAGAGCTAGAAAACGGAACAAATGGCGGCATTGTTGAAAAAAGGGAATGGGGTTTTTTAAATCAGTTTTCAACTCTTGAGTTGTAATTCAGTGGTTGAAAGTTTATATAAGCTTTTGGACAAGTTAATAACTTTTTTATTTTGTCTTGTCTTTTTTGTATATTGAGGACTGTCTAAAAAAGAGATTCCGCATGGTGAACCGAAAAGTTTTTGGTCAACACTGTTGTTGTTGTATATAATTGGATCGTTTTTAGCAGTTTTTAGGACTCTGTTTTTAGTGCATATGGTTGGATGATTGTTGTTGGTTTTCCAAGCTAATAAATGAGCTTGGACTACATGGTTGTTTTGATCTGGTTTGTGGTACTTTTCCAACTGGTATCGTTTTTGCTTTTACCTTTCTTTTCTTTTGAATTTTGTTATTTTTTTCTGGCTTTCTGTTCTTATCTTTAAAGATCAATTGGTTTTTGGGTTAAGGCTGCCCGGTTCATATCAGTTGTCTACTCCTTGTTTGATTTCATGTCTTTCTTCGCTTGGCAAAATGTTTGAAAGCAATCATGGAGGTGGATGATAGTTTTCTTTTTGAGTAATTTAGCTGGATAACGTTTATGACATGGTGTTTCAATTGATCATATAAGCTGCTTTTTCTTAGTGAAATATTCTTTTTAAGCAACTTTTTATTTAATATGTCTGCCCGTAGCTGTTTCCATTTTTTCTTTGTAGGAAACTTCAATCATTTCAAATTTGTTGCTCACCTAACTTGTCCTTCCTTTTTTTGGCAGAGAAGCTCTCAGATGCCATGCGGTGTATGGTTGAAGATATCAATCTTAGAAACCACGAAACCAACCAATGTAAAACATGAAACTGGGTAATAACTCCATTTCTATTTTCCTTCTTTTCATCTTGGTCTCTCTGTCTGCCTCACCCACACGTATCTCTATTTAAAATCTTCTTTGCTATCTTATCCTAGAAGGTGCTTAACATGTCTACTAGATGGTTTCAAATGAGTTGATCTACATTTTCATATTGCAGATGTTGCTGTCTTGAGAATGTTATTCTTCTAGCTACATTAAATCATTATATATGAAGATTATGGTGTTTATTGAATGTTTTTATGTACTTGCAGATAACGAACAACCTCTCTGCCATTCAACTATAGGCTACAAGAGTGACTCAAAGCTTTATTTGTTCTTAGCTGACACTAAATCATTTGAGAACAATGACAAGCCTCTGGATTCCACTGGAATAAATACAGAAGGAATTGTAAAGGAGAATCAGAATGGAGTCATGCATGGTATAAAGGGAAATGATGGTGATTCAGTTCCCTCATTATATCTAGAGAAGACAAGAAATGGTTGGCCAGCATCAAAACTAGATTGTTCTATGAGTGAAAATGACTTTGCCAATGGTAATGAAAAGGAGGTCAGAGATTTTGTGACATCAAATTCTCATTCTTTGAAGAATATGGATTCATTTCAGGACTCAGTTTTTTATTTGGACAAAAGTGTGATGGAATGTGAAGTGCCTGAACTGGAAGTTTGTTATAAAGAGAGTACATATCATGTTGTCAAGGACATCTGTATTGATGAGGGAGTTCCAAAACAGGACAAGTTCTTGTTTGACGGTGGTGTGGATGAGAAGAGTGATTGCAACTTTCTGCAATATGTTTCTGTGTCTCCGGAAGAAATTCAATCTGGCAAGAATATTGACAATGATTGTGGTTCTAATAAAAAACTTGATGCTGATGCATGTGCGCAAGATGTTTCCTTATCGCTAGAAGAAACTAAGTCTAACAAAGGAATTCAGAATCAATGTGATTCTAAGGATTTGATACTGACAGGGGAAATGAAGGATGGTGCAAAGAAAATGATCACCGATGACATTTCCAAAGAATTGTTTACCCTTGGAGAGTTACTTTCAATGCGGGAATTGAGCACAGTGAAACCCCAAGCCATGTCTTCCGATTGCAAAAGTGATGGAATCAAACAACAGTCTTTTCAGGTAAACTTATCTCAGTCAAAGTTACTAAAATTTCGATGTACTATACCAAAATTCCTTGTAATAACAATATTTATCACTAATATGTGCAATTAAATGTGCATTATTACATTTTATTACCTCCTATATTTCTGCATTCATGTTTGAGTTTAGCATCAACGGCACCTTGTTTTCTTATCCCATAATGAATGGACATTTATGCTCAAAGTAAAAACAAGAATAAAAATTATGGTAATTTTATTTTCCATCAGTATGGCAGTATTTAAGTTAGAAATCTATGAATATCCTTAAAGTATCCAGATTGTCGATGATAGTTTTCTATTAAGTGTTCAGGAGAGATAGGGTTCACATCTTAAGAAGTAACATGATGTATTTTTATTTGTTTGCAGAACTCAAGTGAAAAGGAAGTCATGGTGATGCTTCCTTTGGTTTCTGCAGTTGAAAAATCAAACAATAGAAATGAGGAGGCAATTGTACCAGCTCCTGCTTTGGTCTCTGCAGCTGAAGAATCTGACCGTGGGACAGGGGAAGCTACCCTGATAAGTCCTGTTCAGGCCTTTTCTTCTGAAGAATCAACCACCAGCAGCCTTGTCAATGAGGTATCTGATGATAGCAAACTGGAGAGCAGAAGCATCACATTTGACTTAGATTCTTCTGCACCAACTAGCAGTAAAGATGAGCATCGCCACGATCTTGATTGTGAGCCTCTTGAGATTGGAAGTAAACCCAAGCTTGAAGATACAGCTGAACAGGCTTTTTCAAACAATCTTCAACGTGGAAATGGAGAGGGTAGTTTCTCCTCTGCAGTGCCTGTAACAGGTCTAATAAGTTACTCTGGGCCAATAGCATACTCAGGCAGTGTCTCTCTTAGATCAGATAGCAGCACAACAAGCACTCGTTCCTTTGCCTTCCCTATGTAATTCACTGGCAAACTATTTGTTTCTTGCTCCTAACATCTCCTTTATATCCAATTCATAACTAATTATTAGCTGTTTTGATTTTGTTTTTTCTTCTATGCAGATTGCAGTCTGAATGGAATAGCAGCCCGATAAGAATGGCAAAAGCTGACCGGAGACAGTACAAGAAGCATAGGGGTTGGAGGCAGAGCCTCCTTTGCTGTAGATTCTGAAAACTTCTATTCTATCCATAGGTTATACAAATTTATTTTTTTTTTTGCTTATCAAGTTATATACATCAATGTCATCCCTTTACTCTCGCATGGCGTTTAATGTGCAGTAGGTTTAGAGTGTCATGCTTAGAATTTAAATATTGTGCATGCAAATTGATCTGTAAGCAACATCCTATGATCTTCATGTATCATTGTAGAATTTCATTTTGGGGTTCACTTTCTTGTTCATGATATCAGCTTATATTAGATAACACTATTCATAATTGCTTTCCTACTATTGCCTCAACTTTTCTTGTTCATAATATCAGTTCATATGCTAAATTCATCCCGTTCCAAGAACAAATTGCATTGTCCATCTTATAGAACTGTATCTTAGGTGCTGCAGGATAATGTTTCAACTCGCACATTTTTTTTTTTTTTTAATGATCCGTTGATCCTTCTTTTGCTCAAATTAAGGGCTGTAGTAATGGCCTTGATGATACCTAGGCCTACTTGTGGGTTTGTTGGATTTTGGGACAGTGGATTGGGCTGTGGAAAGAGCTGATGTGAGAAGGAAATACGAGCAAACACTCCTAACTTATGTCTTATATATAACACATGGCTGGCTTACAAATTTTTTATTTTTTTAATTTTTTTATTTGAAGTTGTCATAATCAAATTCTTATAATTGAAATTAAAAGTTTATTTTTTTATTTTCATTATTCAAAAGTTATTTCTTTTTACTCGGACATTGTCATTTGTGCTGTTATTCTTAAGTTCTGTTTGTTGGTCAAACATTCTGGCTTCCTTGTACACTCTTGTCCATATTTTCATTTCTTCAATGGTCTTTCATGGATTTGCTGCACATGCATGCACGTGTATTGTCTTTGAAAAACGAAAGGCTTCGAACAAAAAACAAGACTATTTTCCTGTCTCGTTCCTGTTTCCAACCATATATTTATTATTTACTAAATTTGACTGGTTGGGTACTTGGGTTACTTGGTTATGTTTGTTCTAACGAGTCATTCGATAAAGTTTGTATTCGATCAGTACGCTTGTTGCACAATCTAGTGCTAAGTTTGGTACGGAAAAAGGAAAGAAAAGGGATCCTGGCATGCTTCATTCTTTTTTTTTTTTAATTTTACATAGAGTTATCTCATCTCATAAACAATTAAGGTATACTTTTTGTTAAAAACTTATATTAAATTTACAAATCGTTTATTAAAAGAATGAGAATATGTCACTTATAATGATTGTAATATAATTAATTAATTATAATTTAAAATTTGATAAAAATCATTAAAATTTTAAAACTCATGCCTATATGTAATGGACTTTTATATAATTTTTATTATGATTGAATAATTATATATTATAATAAAAAAATTATAGGTAAAACGTTCCCCGAAAAAGCTATGAATAGCGGAACCAAATCTATTCTTCATAAGCCAAATATTCCATTATTACAGACTGAAAAACCAACCCCATTAGTCTTCGGTTTTCACTTATTCAATTTTCTTTTTCTCAAAAGAAAAACAGAAGGAAGAAATTTTGGTTTTTTTCCTTAGCCACTTTTGCATAACGGCACCATAAAATACTCTACAAGGCTACATTTTAATGGGATATTCCACTTCAAATATTTTGCTATCAACCCTGGAAAGTGGTTCTTTTAGAAGCTGAAGCATCAATAAAAATGCATAGAATATTGAACTTTTAAGTACTCTCTTGATCCCCTTTAGGCAGAAAGAATATACAAACTGAAGTATTCAATAACATCTGAGCTGGCCTGCAAATTTATAACTAAGAATGCTAAGACTGAACTACATCAATGTCAAATGATAAAATGTTTTGTTTCTCTATTAAGGCAAAAGATTTTAATGGTGATATATAAATATGCTGTCAAAAGCTCATAAATGACCAAAATTAGCAACATATTAGATGCTTTGATGGAGATATGTCTTGGGTTTTGTTCTAATAAAACAAAACCAAGGGTCCTACCATGGTTGTTGACAAAAACCAAACCAAATGGTGTGAAGCCTCTTAAAAAGGAGCATAAATTTTAAGATTTTCCTGTAAGTGTTTTGGAACTCTGCATTTTTGTGCTTTGTGTCTATTTCTCTTTCTTTCTGTCTCTCTCCCTTTCTTTCCTCTTTGTCTATGGGGCTTTGCTTGATATAAAAACAACCCACACTCAGGAAATTGGAAAGCTGTAGTCATACAAAAGAAATCTTCAGAGAATTGAAGTGATATGGAGCTGATAGTTTTCATTATTGTGCTTTGCTTTAGCTTCTTTACATTGCAAACACCTTGTACTTCCCTGCAAATCCAGCTGCAATCATCAAATGAACAAGGTAAACTATAAAGGTCTCTTTCTCTCTGTCTCTTTTTCTTTTCCCATTTGTTTAATGAGTCTAAGTGCTTTGGTCATGAGCAGCAAAAGGAGTTCAGCTTTCTCCCCCCACACTGCCAAGGAAGCTCAGATTCACTGAAGAAGTAACAGTAAGAATCTATCCATAAAAGACTTGGCAGTAATAAATTACCTTCTCCTTCTTAGGCTCATCTAAATGCCTTGTGTTTTTGAAACAGGAAAAACGAAATGAAGCTCAACATTCAATTTCAAACACCAAGCAGAAGGATGATGTTTCAGGTGCCATATCTATTTAGTATCTTTATATACATGCAAGGCTCTATATTAAGTTACGTTTTCTATTCAAAGATTGAAGTCCAAGTTAGAGTGTCCATCACCTCAGCAATGGAACAAAACTATAGGAGGGAGCTTCTGCTCTATTCCCGTTCAAGCTCTTTGTTTTGCATTTTTTTATTTTTTATTTTTGTATTTTATTGTTAGAAACAGAACAAAATATGGGATTGAACAAAGTTTTCATAGAAATTAAAAAGTAATCTGCCCTTACTGACACTAGTGAATATTCCGCCCTTACTTATTACTTGTATTTTGAAAAGCCAGCTCTTGACTTGTATAACAGACCATAACAGACGTTGGCCTTTCTGTAATCTAGGTCAGCTTGCTCAGAAGTCAGAACCCCTTGACTTCAAACTTAAAAATGCCAAGATTTCCTCACTCAAACCAAGACTTTTTCTTTTAACTTGTTCAGATTTTGTTTCTCTACTATCATTTACAACAAAGTTGCATATTGATCTTTTCAATTCTATAAATTTCTTGCCTTGAGGATATTTTATTAAGGATTCCTTTTGATGTATACTAGCAAAGTAGTGATAAAGCGACATTGAACAGGCAAAACATACCAGAAAAAGGAAGCTACAGTGCATGGAAGTCGAGGCACAAGGCAACAATGGATGGAGGAGGGGGGGCCCGACATTTCACAATATTTTACAATGGATTATTCCCAAGTAAAAAGACGACGCCCCATACACAACAAGTCATTGCCGGTTGTTCCTTGAAACCTGGTGGGATGATACTTCCTGCTTGCCGCTGCTTTCAGTCCCCCAAGAGTACAGTGAACAAATTTTCAGGATCACAATTTTGTTAAAAAAAATATATGTAATACTAAGGCATGCTTCTCTGATTAGTGAAATGAAGGATGTGTCTTCTTTTGTTTCTGCTCATGGCCGACATTCCTTAACTAGTGAGTTTGAGTTCAATGGGCCTACAAACCCCAACATACTCTAACATTCTTGCCCAAGTTGCTAATTATGTTACCTCCTAGTTTACAGTAAACAATGTCTGCAATGCGGTTGAAGTGGGTGCCATTCGCCTGGCATTTCATTGATTCGACTGTTGGCTGGCTGGTTATGGAGGGAAGAACTTTGAAACTAGGTCCTGCTATTTCATTGATATGCCCATTGTTAAATTATTACTTTGACTGTTTAACACACTCTTAGCACGTTTAGAACGCCTATCAACCATTTAGGATTCATTGAAAAAAGAGATGAAATTAATTCATATAACATTAAAATTATTAGTGATAATGAAATTAATTACTACAAAAATGAAATTAGATATTATTATAGTATTAATTATTATAATGATAAAATTAAATACTATATTTTTAAGGTTGTAAATTATATAAAAGAAATTTACTTGAAAATTATGAATTTTTTATATAAATCAGTAAATTTGATTTTAATAAACTTATTTGAACGGACAAATATCAAATAAAATTTAAGAGCTTTTAAAAAAAATTTTCATTTGAGTGTTAATATTAATAGTTATTTTTTAGAAGTAAAACAAAAATTAATAATAATTTGAAAATAAAAAGTTAAAATTTAAATAGTATAAATAATAAACGTACTATAATAATTTATTAGTTTTATTTTTGTGAGTCGTTTGAATGGATACCAAAATACGAAATCTGAGCTGAAACGACGCCGGTTCCTTGACACACCCGAAACTAACAGCAAGAAAGCAAAACTACTTAAACAGAAGAGAAGATCACAAAATCAAAATCCATCAGATCCCAAAAATGGAAGATCTTTGGAAGCGAGCAAAATCCTTCGCGGAGGAAGCGGCGAAAAAATCGCAAACCCTGACAACGCCAAACAAAATCGCCGATCTAGTCGCCGAAACTGCCAAGAAGTCCAAGGAGCTTGCTCTAGAAGCCACCAAGAAAGCCGATGAGCTCAAAACCGCCGCTCTCAAACAAGCTGATCAAATCCAAATCCAAACCCTCTCCAAGTCCATTTCCGATATCATCCCTCCGCAACTCTCCTCCCTCTCCATTACCTCCTCCGCCTCCACTTCCTCCGATCCTCAACAAATCTCCGATTCGGAGCTCCGGAAGTTTGGTCTCACCGATGATTTGAGAGACTTTGTCAGAGGTTTTACTTCTAGTACTTTCCAGAACTTCCCTTTCCCTATCCAAGGTAATTTCTTTAATTTAATTTAATTTCTTTTCTTAAATCAAATCTGAAAGTTTTAGTTTTTTGAGTAGATGAACCGGAGCCGTCCGATGCGACGACTACATTGTCAAATGTACGGAATGATCTGAGTGAATGGCAAGAGAGGCATGCCACGCTTGTTCTTACCACTGTTAAGGTAAAAAAAATTACATATCTTTTAGATTTTATAATTTTAAGCCTACATCAGGCATTGCATTGTAATTGTGTTTGATCCTAATCGTTGGATTTGGCCGGAAAGAAAATGCTAAAAAAGAAAATTTGTGGTAAAAAAATTCGATTGAGATGAATTTTCTATTAGTCATCTTTATATCATTTGTAATTTTCGATTGCAATTGAAATAACAAACTAGACCTAAGTTTACGAAGAAATCGCAGGAAGCATTTCAGATTTTATACCTTTAATGATTAATTTCTGTAAAACATGTTCTTCTTATGCAGGAAATCAAGAAATTAAGATATGAACTGTGTCCGCGAGTGATGAAAGAAAGAAAATTTTGGAGGATATATTTCACTCTTGTTAGCACTCATGTTGGCCCGTAAGTAATTAATTATTATTATAATAATGATAATTTAGGGTTAGCAATCAAATTCTTTTTTGATGTAAGGTATTTGTGCTTTCAGTTATGAAAAGCAGTACACGGAAGAAATTAAACAGAGAGTGGAGGAGGGGGCAAAAGAGGATAAATCGAATCAAACACCTGTTGTTAAGACAGTGGAGTCAGAAACTAGTCTGAAAAGTAAAACTTCGAGTGCATCTGCCGAGCAAGATTTGGATACATTTTTGTTGGGAGATTTTGAAGATAGTGATGGGGCTGGAGGTATATTCTTTTAAATTCTTGTATTGATTTTGGTTTCATAATATCTTCATATGTTTTGTTTTCCTGCATTTTTGATATTTTGAATTGTTTGCACTTGAAGTCACTTAATGGTTTTAACTTTTCAGTTGATGACTTTATTCTCAAATTATATGTCCAAAAGGATGTGTTTCCCAAGAGTCATATGGAAGTCTGATCATGGATTCAGTAGCTTAACTTACTATGGCTGATTCAATGTTACATGTTGATCTCGGCAGAGGAGTTTATATCCTTGTTAAGACATGCAATACTGGATAACTTACAGAAGACATTATTGCAATAATGTGGCAAGTTTCATTGTTCATAAAAAACCATTTATAAATGAATTGGACCCAGACAATTTGTTTTCTATTTTAAATGTTTTCTTTAACGATTTGTTTTACTATAAATTTGTCAATTATTTGCACATGTTTCAGATAATGGTGATGCTGATGGTGATGCTGATGGGAGCTTCGGTGATGATTTTGATAAGATTGAAAATTCTGTAAGCTTGAATAACTTTATACTACCTCTTATTAAGGTGTCCTAACTCCTATCAGTGCTTCCTTTTGCATCCTTTATAACATGTTTAATTTTTCCCTCATCTCATTGATGTTTGTTCCTAGGTTCTTCATTCTTTGAATTGGCTGTAATATATGTTTCAAACTTTATGGTCGCTTGCAGGATGTTGAAGATGAGAAGAAGACTACATCAGGATATAAAGCTTAGAATTGCTGTCAGAGGAAACACATTGGAGTAAAAGTCTGAACACATTGCTGCCATGGGGAGGAAAGACTACAGAAGGGATAGCAGAAGCAGTTGCTGGTTCACAAAATATGATTTGGTGGGATTCTGGTACTATGGTAGTGTGGTGTATGTTTGCATTATGCAAGAGATATGATTTGATATTTGTTCATTTATTAAACGCTATAAACAATTGCAGAGGTTTTGATACCTGTTTGCCAGGGGAATGAGGGGAGGCTAGAACACCATTATTTGCCGTGTACAGAGAAGCTCATTCTATTAATCAAATTGCTCTTGTTAAAGCTTCTTAATCTTGAATTTTGTTCATACCATGTCTAAACTTCAGAAAATTTCACTCTCTTTTGGTAGACACATCAAACAAATGCTGAATTCAAAACTTTTTCTTTTTGGGGTGAGGAGAGGCCCTGATTAATTTGAGCATTCTTCCAACTCAGGAAAGATCTGTAGTTAGAACGAATTTATTATTCACCGAATTTAATCAAACTTCAAGTTCAAGACCAACATTTAAAAAAAAAAAAAAATCGCTGACTTTGAAGAGGAAATTGCAATTTTTGAGTGCCGGAGCAGTACAAGAAAGCAGCTGCTCTTCCTTTATCCGTACCTACGCGGCCTTTTTTTTTTTTTTGAAAAAAACTTAAAATTTAAAATTTGTGAAGGTTTTATTGAAAAAATTAAATATAAATTAAAATAAAAAATTAAAATTGATAAATTAAAAAACTTTATTATATAGATCAAATTCGTAATATTTGAAATTTTTTTAAAAATTTTAAAAATTTTTATATAAATATTTTAATAAAAATATTAATAAAATTTTTATTATTAAATAAATATCAATCAAATTTAAATTATAAATAATATTTTTAATAAAATTTTTACATATTATTAATTTTTATATTAAATTTGATCAAATCTATCATTTTTAATTTATTAAATTATTAAAAGAATTCACAAATCACAGACTTTACGTAAAAAAGATAATGTAAGATTTCTCGTGTCTCTTCTTCCCCCCGCTTACTGTACACTGTCCAGCACTTGACTCAAAACACCCTCCTTCTCCCATTCTCTCACCTTAATCCCCTCCCTATCCTCTTTCTCTTCCAAATGCAGAGCTGCAGAGCCAAATCATAAAATGCCCAGTATTGATTTTTAAATAGTTACACAGACTAAAGCAATAAATTTATCCATGTCAAATTAACAATTATCATCAATTAACTTCATCAATGTAAATTGGCCTCCAAATTAAAATTATCATCAATTAACTTTTTAATTTCTATTTTTTTATTGATCCCAATTTACTCTGATTTCAGTATATAGTTTGCCTCTTAAAAAAACCTATATAATATAAAAATGTATCTTTCATCTATTACTACTACCTGTAATTATATACATGAAGCTATAATTATTAATTATGAAATATTATAAATACAGATAGTAAAATGACATAAATGCTATAATTAATACTACTAGTAAATTCAGAAAATGATATATAATAAATAGTTTTAAATAAAAAAAGACGAAATGGCACAAGCAGATGATTTTTTTTTTTAGAAATGAATCATGTTTTGTTTATTGCAGGGACATTGTAACTATTTAATGGAATTTATTAAATTAATTAATGGACCCCATAAAAATTATGTTAAAGGAATTGAGAAAGAAAAACAAATTCCTCGTGTGGCTTGGAAAATCAATAAGTTACGACTGTTTGATGTATGACTCTTGAAATTTTCATAGCAAGCAAGAAAGAAAAAATCACTTTAAAAGCCCCAAATCCTCTCATTATTCATTACTCTTTGCATGGAAACCAGCTTCCTGGCGATGTAATTCCCCGGAATCAGGTAAACAAAAAGTTTAGAAGAAAAAAACACAACCCCAAATACCTTGTATTGAAGTTTGAATTCATTGATAAGTTGCTCCAATGAATTTTATGAGGTGATTTTTTTTCTTTTAAAAAATATTTTCATTCTTTTGGATAATAACTCTAATCCTATTATCAAAAAAATAATAGTAGCTTTTTTTTTTCGTTTATAGAGAATTAAAAAAGATTAGGATCTCCAGAGCAAAATTTGAAGAGACAGAGTGTGGAGAGGTGAAGGAGAAACCCTACTACAGTAAGATGAGGTTGAAGTATATGAGTACGCTTAAAGCTGAAAAATTGAAGAGCTTAATTCTTGAACGGATTAGAGTTGCTCGACTGAAATTATGGGTGACTAGAGCTTTAAGCATGATGCTGCTTTGGGCTATTGTCATGCAGTTGAAATCACTTGTAGAAGCAGTTTCATCACCCAGGACCCCAAAATCAACCTTTTCTTATCCTCTTCCCCCTGAAAGTAAGTATTGGTTTTAACTTATATATATGTATGTATGCTTTGAAGTTGGTTCAATTTAGTTGCCATTTCTGTCTATGATTTTGGTGTTGAATTATATAATTACTCACATGCATGCATGCATGATATATATAAATATATATATATTTATATATTAAAGTAATCTTGAAGAAACAGAAACATTTAATTGGCAGAAAATTTTCTTGTTCTTCACAATCTGCTATCCTTGCCAAATTACTCTATGGGTGTGTAAATATTTCAGGGGTCTATGAAAACAATGGTTATCTGATGGTTTCTTCGAATGGAGGACTGAATCAAATGCGATCCGGTGTAAGTAATTATCAGTCTTCTCTTTTCTTTTTTTTTTTTTTGTTTTTCTTACAATTACTATGTTAAATGTTGTTTTGATCAAATAGATCCCGAATTCCTGATTAATTAACTTTGTCTTCTCTTGTATACGCAGATTTGTGATATGGTTACAGTTGCCAGATTTTTAAATGTGACCCTCATTGTTCCTGAATTAGATAATACATCATTTTGGAATGATTACAGGTAGCTAATTTATGTCATTTCTTACTTTTTTGTTTTACTATATCACTTCTGCCACCTTTTTCTTCCAATTATTACTTTTTATTTTGATCGATCATATTTCTAAACAAATTTCATTTTCTGTTATGGCAGTCAGTTTGCAGACATATTTGATGTGGAATACTTCATTGCGTCACTGAGAGATGAAGTTCGGATATTGAAAGAGCTACCTCCTGCGCAAAAGAAAAAGGTGGCCGAATCAGTCTTCTCGATGCCACCAATCAGCTGGTCTAACATGACATATTACTATAATGTGGTAGGTTCATAGCTATATTCCTTACTTCTTCGGTGTCCAAGGTTATTTTTCTCAATGTTAGCATCACTCTTATATTATTATACACAGATTCTTCCGCGGATACGAACACATGAAGTGGTGCATTTCCAGAAGACTGATGCTAGGCTTGCTAACAATGGGCTTCCTGATGACGTCCAAAAGTTGCGCTGCCGAGTAAACTATGAGGGTCTGAGGTTTGCCCCTCCCATACAAGCGTTGGCTAAGAAGATTGTTAGGATACTAAGAGAAAAGGGTCCCTTCCTAGTTCTTCATCTCAGATATGAAATGGATATGATAGCATTCTCTGGTTGTAATGAAGGTTGCAATGAACAAGAGATTGACGAGTTAACAAAAATGAGGTAATTAATTAATTGGTTTCAATATTCCTTTATGATCAGATCACAAACCTAGTGATAATATTGTTACAAACTTGCAATGTCGTCAGATATGCATATCCCTGGTGGAAAGAAAAAGTAATCGATTCGAAGAAGAAAAGACTAGCGGGTTTGTGCCCTTTAACTCCTGAGGAGACAGCGCTAACATTGCAGGCATTGGGTATCGATCGCAGTATCCAAGTTTATATAGCTGCTGGAGATATATATGGAGGAGAACGGAGATTGGCGACTCTTAGAGCAGCTTATCCGAATTTGGTAATTAGTTTAGTTGATTTTCAATGAAGAATATATAAAATTTTAATTAACAAATTAATTTCAATGTAAAATGATTTAATCTATAGCTTTTCGTATGGTACTCTTGCTTGGTATTTTGCGAAACAGGTCAAGAAGGAAACATTACTACCACCATCAGACCTTGATCCCTTCAGGAACCATTCAAACCAGATGGCAGCACTAGATTATTATGTAGCAGTGGAAAGTGATATCTTTGCTCCCACAAATGGAGGAAACATGGCCAAAGTTGTCGAAGGCCATAGACGGTATTCACCAAATGTTCATTTTAAGTTCACTATAGTTTTAATTTATATTTCCTGATGCTATATCAAATTCTTTTTCAGATACTTGGGGTTCAAGAAAACAATCCTATTGGACAGAAAGGCTATAGTCGATTTAGTCGATCTGTTTCAAGCTGGATCAATAAGCTGGGAAGAATTCTCATCAGAAATGAATGAAGCTCATGCAGATCGGATGGGGAATCCTGCTAAAAGATTGGTAATTCCCGGTAAGCCCAAGGAAGAGGATTACTTCTATACAAATCCAGAAGAATGTTTGGCACCAGTTGATGAACCAAAAGTTAATTCTGATGATCAGCAACAAGAAGCTGAAGCTGAACCATGACGTTGATGGCTATATATACCAAGGAATTGTTTCCAGCTGCTGCGTCTTACGATATTAATCTTCTCTAGTAAAAATGATTGGAAATTAACACAAGCGTTTTGAGAAAGATAAATGAAGACTAATTGGATATCATTTCAGTTTTCATATTCAATTTGTGTACGCTGATCAACTTGCAAATGCAAGGTAAAATCTGTTACATGCATCCATGTTTGTAAGTATAGACAATTTACATATTACTTTTTTTTCCTCTCGTTAGAAATAAGTTTTTTTTTTCTTTTTGGTTTTTTAAAATTTCTTTTTATCCATAGATAATGATAAGGAAAAAGAAATTTCAGGAAAAATAAAAATTTACATATACTAACTAAATAAATATAAGAGAAAAGGAATATGAAAAAAAAAGTTAATTGTTGATAGAATATTGGATTTTTAATTTCAGTTATTAATATTTAAATCCTAACAATTTTAAATGCAAAAAAAAAAAAATCTTAATTTATTTAGATACACAAAAAAAAAAGCTAATTGCTAATGTGATGCCTCTAATCTCATATTAGAGGAATTAAAAAATATGATATGATATATATGTGAAAATCTAAATATATATTTATGAAGTGTTTTTCGTGAAATAAATTGTGAGACTTTTAAATTAAAACAAATAATATTTCATAAATTTGGTATAAATCTCTATTTATAATATCATAATGATCATCAGTTGGACTTTTAGTTCTGTCTGATGGGTTCTATGTGAGTTTTATATTGGATTTGACAGGTACATCAAATTTTATTAGAAAAAATTGTGTGATCTTGGTTCTATTTGTATTTTGTATTAAATTTGACAGAAACATTAAGTTTTAACGAAAAAAATTATGATATCTTCAATCTCACAAATATAATATGATATATATGTAAAAATTTAAATTAATACTTGTAATGTCATTTTTATGGGAAAAAAACTATAAAATTTTTGAATCAAAACGAATAATATTTCATAAGTTGGATGTAAATCTCTACAGTTAAGATTCAAAATTTTTTTTTTTAATATATGAGGTTAAGATTCAAGATTTGAACCTCCTTCCTTAAAGTTTTTCTATATAAAAAAAATGTTAAAAATAATAATTTGGTTTTTACCATTAGAAGCAATAGAAATTAAAATGAAGACGATGAAGCCTTATTTAAAACATTGAATTTTTTTTGAAAGATTGAAATTAAATCATAAATCACACTCGCAATTAATTTTTTAACTATCAATATTCTTGCATTTATGTCTCAAATAATTAAAGGGTTATTGCTATTTGCTATGAACTATAAATATACGCCACTATTACTGGTTAAATGCTAGGATTTGATTTATATTTTTTTTTTTCACCGATCATAATCTGCACTAATTGCAAGATGTTAATGGATCAAATCCACTATAAATGTTCCTATGCAATTACCATTTTTAACTTGATGAAAATATGTTTTTTTTTCCATCATGTCAAATTAAAAACTGGCCAACATATTTAAATTAAATTCTAAATAATACTTCGACAATTACATGTAAGATGTGTATTAATTAGTTACATCAGTACCAATGAGGTTTTGACTTAATGATAAGGAGAATGTCTTAAAATTCTAAAATCTTAGGTTCAAGCGTCATTTTGTGTGAGTTTGGTTATTTAATAATGTTTTGATTTATTAGTTGATTATTTAATAATTATAATTTATTATTAAATTAATTATATTGATGCAATACTTGATTATAATTGTAACTAAAAAAATAATTGTATTAATAATCTCCTCATCATTTAGTTCTGTCAAATAATAAATTTTTATTTTTAATTTGAGATTTTATGTTATTCAATCCTTATTAAGAGAATTTTTTCTGATATAATTAGAGAAAAAAATTTTGATCTTTTATTATCTTTATACCCAAATCATATCATACCCTTACCAATCGATTCAGTACCATGTCGACATATCATTAAAGATTAATAGTTGAATGAAAAAAATATTTATTCAAATTTAAGTTATTAAATAAAAAAAATTAATAATTAAATGATCATTTTAAAAACACAATTACAATCGAATGATCAATATTATATTTTATTTTTAATTTTAATACATTATATTTATTAGAAGATGTTTCTTAATTTTTTGGTTTAAAGCTATCATAAATCAAATTTTTATGAAATCCAAAAATTTAGCATTATATGCCCTGAAGTATAATGAACCTAGTGAGCCAAAAATTGACACCCCATTGAAAGTGTTAAAGGTGCTAGAGATATGTTGTTCGCACAGATACCTAATAGGCTGCTACCCAAGAGAGAAGTGAATCATAAAATCGAGCTGGTGCCCGAGGCCAAGCCATTAGCCAAGACCCCTTATCGAATGTCACCCCCAAAATTAAAGGAGTTAAGAAAGCAACTCAGGGAGCTGATCGATGCTGGCTACATCAGGCCATCCAAGGCCCCATATGGTGCCCCATTATCAAAATATATAATCATTTTTTTCTTTGTGAAAGGCATATGTATTAGACTCGACTATAATGACTAAAGGAGATCAGCATTTCAATTCAAGTTTATTAATTACTCACATCATCACAATTATTAATTCCTTTTCGCAATAATAAATAAAAGTTAGTGTTTGAAGTAGAATATATATATTTTACTCGTTTTTGAGGTGAGAGTCCGATGCTTTTCAATTTCCGTAATAGATTAATATAATTATTATTATGAGAATCCTTCATATTTAATTTACTAATTTCTCGTGGAAAATGACTCCAAAACAACGTGGTTGAATTTTGAAAAGCCGATAGATAATTCCCAAACCGCAAGCAAACAATTTCCTCTTGTTTTTAAACGGTCTTTCAGTGCATTAGCGGTTGGTGGCACCCGAAAACCGGCTTTCCAGGGTTAATCTTTTTTCCTGGATTCTGGTAGGGAAACTAACCTCAGCCAACATTGTATAAATCAGTTGAAACAGTTGTTGATTTAAGCCCAGATTATATTTATGGTGTAGCCATAATATCCATGTAACAAATTGAATGTTTATGTACTTTGTTTATATTTCGGATTCGAGTTTGAAATAAGCAAAGTTGCACGTTTAGAACATATATCAGTTGTAGGTGGTGAGGATTTGCTGATGGGGATGGAAGACTCGACGCCTGACTTTGAAGAAGAGAAAGCATTTGTTGATATAGAGGAGAAAGATAATCCATGTGGTAAAGTGGAGTTGAAGTGTTCCATTGGTGATACCAGTCCCGGAAAGTTGAAGAATTTGATTACTGGAGTGATCAGACTGGATAAATTGAAGAGTTTGATTCTCCCTATGTCTCCTGGATTTGATCAATTCAAGTTACAGGTGCTTGGAATCACAACCATGATGCTTTTGCTGTTGGTTTTTGCATTGCAATTGGCGACACTGGGGGAGACTATTGGCCCATCGGCTGTCAAGTTAGAAACCCCACCTTATTTTCCACCCCAGAGTAAGTTCCCATGCTTATTTTAGATGTCAGATGATTAATTTAAGGCAATCATGATAGAAAACGAGTTTAATTAACCAAGTCCATAGTCATTATTCAGAGAGATCAAAGGTATAAACATAACAATTGTTTGAAAATTTGTGCAATCTGTTCTGAATTAGTGAATCACACACATTTGCATGATCAATGTTTCCAGGGGTTTACAAGAACGAAGGTTTCTTGATGGTTTCATCCAATGGCGGATTGAATCAAATGAGAGCCGGTGTAAGCATTCTCTGCTTAATTTCCAAAAGTCTTTTTTTTTTTTTTCATTGCTGTATGTCGCATATACCCTGATTATTTCCTTACTTGGTACTTGTAAACAGATTTGTGATATGGTTGCTATAGCTAGATTTTTGAATCTCACGCTTGTAGTTCCTGAATTGGATAACACTTCATTTTGGCACGATAGCAGGTGTGTTAGTTATTACATGTCAGTAGTTTACCCTTTATTTTGAGGTATTGCTACTAAAATTCAGAAGTTCATAGCAATCATTCTGAATTTGGCAGCCAGTTCAAAGACATATGGGATGTGGATTACTTCATCAGATCTCTCAGTGATGAAGTTCGGATAATTAAACAGCTGCCTCTTGGACTGAGGAAGAAAGTTGAAAAAAATGGACTCTATTCCATGGTAGCAGCCACCTGGTCTGACATGCCCTATTACTACAACAAGGTCAAGTAACTCGTATTCGATCACAGTATAAGAGTAGCCTAATGATGATTTGTTACAGCTGATGTTTACAGGTAACTAATATGCAGATTTTTCCTCGTTTCCAAAAATATGGAGTGGTTCATTTCACTAAAACCGATACTAGACTTGGAAATAATCTTCCTGTTGAGGTTCAAAAAATGCGCTGTAGAGTTAACTATAAGGCCCTAAGATTCACTCCTGCAATAGAAGAGTTGGGGAAGAAGATTATTAAGATTTTAAGGGACAAAGGCCCTTTCTTAGTTCTTCATCTCAGATATGAAAAGGACATGTTAGCATTTACTGGTTGCACTGAAGGTTGCAATGAAAGGGAGGTTGAACAGCTTACAAAAATGAGGTGAGCAATTAATCTTCATGTTATTCACATAACTAGTAGCAATCAAGAACTGGGTTTCATAGATCATCCTAAAATGCATATTGTATATACCTAGATATGCTATCCCTTGGTGGAAGGAAAAGGAAATAGACGCAAAGAGTAAAAGAGAAGCCGGTCTCTGCCCACTGACTCCAAAGGAGACAGCACTTGCAATGAGAGCATTTGATATTAATCCTAACATCCAATTATATATAGCTGCTGGGGATATATATGGAGGAGAGAGAAGACTGTCAAGTCTTAGGGCATTCTATCCAAATTTGGTAAAAAAAGAAATTGAACCTCTAAAGCTTGCTTATCATTTGCAATGAGATTTACTTATTAATTAAATTCTAAAATCCTCTATTCTTACCCCTTGTTCCGACACAGGTGAAGAAGGAAACATTACTATCACCCTCAGACCTGAAGCCATTCCAGAACCATTCAAATCAAATGGCAGCTTTGGATTATCTTGTTTCATTGGATAGTGACATATTCCTGCCGACCTATGGAGGCAATATGGCAAAAGTTGTAGAAGGCCATCGAAGGTATATATATTTGCCTGGTAACATTTTGTGTAATTCCTATGTAACTTTTGTTTATCAATCGGCTGCTGAACAAGCTTGCTCCATCATCAAATATTTCCAGAGTCCAAAGCTAGCCATTAAAGTTAAATATTGAAGATTAGAATATGACTAGATCAAAGTTGTGACATGACTAATTTTCTAGCAGATTCCTGGGATACAAGATGACAATTAATCTAGACAAAGTGGTCCTGATCCGTTTGATAGACCAATACAAAAATGGAACATTGAGCTGGAATGAATTTTCCCAGTCAGTGAAGGCAGCTCATTCAAATCGAATGGGGAGCCCATCTCAAAGATTGCGGTTTCCAGGTAAACCCAAGCAAGAGGATTACTTCTATACAAACCCACAGGAATGTTTGCCACCACTTGTAACAACAAACAACAGAAAGCCTGTTACAGACAAGGGCGAATTATCATAGCCCACCATTTTCATTTGTTAAAGGAAGGGCTGACTGTAAACTTCCTGAATTGAAAGAGTAAATAATTTGAGCTTCGGTGGGTGTAATTGAATTTGTGCACAAAGTTTTTTTGGACAGAAAATATAAATACATCCAACTTACAGGAAATTTGTACTCATGGAAGAATGGATTGGTCATTGATCTTTTAATTCTCCTACTACTCATTTTTAATTCTAATACAAGAAGTTAAATACAAACGAAAGTCTTTTTTTGAATCGAAACTTTTAAACAATGACCTTGTAAAGCTCATTTTTCACACAAAATCAATAAAAGCCAGCTCATTTTCACAAAAATGGAATAAAATAAATTCTAACTAAATATAATATTCAAAAAATTTTGAATTCAAGTCAGAATCAAACATTGTAATTTAAAAACATATCATTTTAAAATTTTAAATTTGTATAATAAATCCAAGGATAAAATTGGTCATATACATACTCAACATTCTAATTTATAAAACTTGTCATCTCAATTTTTTTTTCTTTTGAACGCATAGAAAGAGAGAGAAAGATCAGACATTGTTCCTGGAAGTTAGAACTCGAAAGCAAAACAAATTGGCAGGCCTAGATTTAGCACTAGCTTGACCAGATTCAACTAAATCAATAAACTAATGCTTCATTTAAATGGTCGATAAGAAGAAATTTTTATAGTATCATCAAGTCATTTTGGAACTGGATCCCTTTATTCGTATTAGCCATCCAAATGAAGCATAGATCAATTGGATTAGACTCTGGCAAGCTAAAATTGACTTGGCTGTGCGGCCGGTGCCAAAAGCTGGAAAAACCCATTACAATTTTAGCACTAAAATTTGATTCCTACACTTGTTTAACTGAACTGATATTTTCCCTTTTTTTTTTTCAAAGAGTTGCCTATGTTATTTTCTGCTCTCTCAAGATATCACCACATGTTTAGAGCTGAAAATGATAAAATTTAAAAAGATGGGTAAGCTAGAATATCAACATCACATTCAACAGCGTCCCAAAATTGATATTTAGTGTCTTACACAACATGTGCTACATCTAAACAGTGTGCATAAGCAATGGTAATTTTGATTTCCATCAACTTCTCAAAATATTCAGCCAATGATCATATGGCTTATTTTATGAAAACTGCCTAGTTTTTAACCTATTTTTTGTACAAACATAATGTTACATATATGCCTTGTTTCATATATTGCATGATGTTTAAATAGAGAATATGTAACGACTATAGGTGGTGGAGGGATCATATGGATAATCACACCAAAGCTGGTTATGAAGAGTCTTAATTTGTTGACAAAATTGAGGTGAAGCACAAGTATGGCAAAATGGAGGTAAATCATACTACTACCGGAGGAAACAAGGCAGAAAAGATGAAGACCATAGGAGCCCGGCAGGGTTCTCCATTAGCTTGTATCAAGTTCTGGGTAGCTGTAGTTTCAACCATGCTACTTATTCTTTGGGTCTGCACAATACAGTTGGCAACTCTGGATGACAAAATCATGGTGCGAAAATCCGCATTCTATTTTCCATCTTTCCCACCTCAAAGTGAGTTCTAGCTATTCTTGATTCTTCTATGTCTCTTATTCTGGTTAAGTAGCATGAAATGATAAAAGAACCTGAATTAGTCTCTGATTCTTAATCGATCTAAAAGTTTGTTCTAATGGTCACATCAGGGGTTTATAAAAACAATGGATATCTAATTATTTCACCCAATGGAGGATTGAATCAGAAGCGACTTGGGGTGAGTAAAATTTCGTTTTTTTAATTTAATAGGATGTAAATTTAGATTGCCCATGACATGCTTTTAGATGTTCTTAGTTCTGCTATTGATCATGCTTTTCATTCTGCTGCTCCACAGATTTGTGACATGGTTATCGTTGCAAGATATTTGAATGTCACACTTATTGTTCCTAAATTTGCTCATGGCACATATTGGAATGATACCAGGTAAATCAACTCAATAATGAACTACCTCAATGCTTTTAGTATCATCCTGACTTTCTGGTGGCCTAATCTTGTGACCAATCCATTGTTCATTGCATAGTTGACAACATTAATGTTGACAATTTGCTATTTTTTTCTTTAATTTGCAGTACATTTGCAGATATTTTCGATGTAAATCATTTCATTACATTTCTGAGAGGTGAGGTTCGCATACTGAAAGAGCTACCTCCAGAGCAGAAAAGAAAAGCGGAGTCAGAACCACTTTATTATATGTTTCCTAGGAGTTTTGCTAGCTTAGAATATTATCTTGAAAAGGTTGGTTTACATCAAGATTCTTGTTTTGATTGAACACAATTTTGTTACATTAAATTTCTGAAATTTCAACAACTTGCACTGATTTCAACATATTTGTTTACAGGTCCTTCCTCGCATACAGAAGCATGAAATTTTGCTGTTTGCTCAAACCGATGCTAGGCTTGCCAATAATGGGTTACCTGAAGAGCTCCAAAGACTGCGCTGTCGAGTAAACTACAAATCATTGAGATTCACTCAACCAATTGAGGAAACAGGCAGAAAAATTGTTACAATTTTGAGAGAAAAGGGTCCTTTCTTGGCTCTTCATCTCAGGTATGAGAAAGATGTATTGGCATTTACCGGTTGCGTTGAAGGTTTAACGAAAGAAGAGGCTACTGACGTGAAAGAAATGAGGTAAGTAATGAGAAACCATCCTTTTCTCTACTCATAGTATGAAATTTGGTGCAATATTTGATCTAATAATGTTGGTAACAGATATTCTCATGATGGGTGGAAGCATAAACCGATTGATCCTAAGCGGAAACGAGAACATGGATCATGCCCTTTAACTCCAGAGGAAACAGCTCTGGTATTCCAGGCATTAGGCATTGATAGGAATACCACAATTTATATTGCAGGTGGAGAAATATACAAGAAAGAGAAGAGAATGGCAGACTTGGCAACAGCTTATCCAAATCTGGTCAGCAGATCAAAATCTATGAAAAACAAAATTAAGTTAAATTATTGAGTAATTCTTTCTTTGATAATGAACTCTAAGCCAATTTACCAGGCGTCACTGCCTTTTCTAATTGGAAACAGGTTAGGAAAGAGACCATATTAAAACAAGTAGAGCTTGAGCCCTTCCTGAAACATGCAGATCAGATGGCTGCCATGGACTATATTGTTGCAGTAGAAAGTGATATTTTCATTCCTACTTTTGTAGGAAACATGGCAAATGCTGTTGAAGGCCATCGCCGGTATTTACTAATAACTTTCTTATCACAAAAAAATATATATTTATGATTTCAGATCTGAATAATTCAAAAAAAATTTTTTTGGTATTTGACATTATCAAAATTTAAATCCTGATCATTGCAACTAGAAGACTATTGGCTTTTATAATTCAAATTTGAAGGGTCATTTACTTAGCCTGTTCCAGAACTATGTTTAGGACTGCTTTTTGACATAAAATCATTTTATTATTACAATGTATATGTTGCAATTCTTTTTCTTCATTTTTGTGCAGATACTTGGGATTTAAGACAACAATTTCTTTAGATAGAAAGCTTTTGGTCAGTCTGATTGACCAGTACAAGAATGGGACCCTAAGCTGGGATGAATTTTCCCTCTTAGTGAAGAAAACCCATGAAGATCGTACAGGGAAAGCAGTGAGACGGAAGGAGATTCCGGACCATCCCAGACAGGAAGATTATTTCTATTCTAATCCTCAGGAATGTTTGCCTCCTTTTGCTCAACCTTCAAATAATATTTGATACTTAACATAGATCATATATTATATTCTTTTATTGTTTTATTTTTTTGAGTTTTTGTTGTTTGTGGCCTTGATTTTAATCAATCTAATTTTTAAATTATTTGATTTGATGGTATGTTTGTTGTACTGTAATTTGGATTATTAGATTTAAATATCAACAAATATAATTATCAAACTTGAAATAATTTAAATAAAAAATAATTCAAATTATCTTAGAATCAAAATGACCCAAACAAAAAGTGATTATTTTGTGCATCAAAAGTTTATGTTGCAATGAGATGTTTTAGCTCAAAAGGAAGTTTTTTAATTGAAATGTTAGGATCATAAGAAGGTCAAAGGAATCTGTAAAGACTGGTTTATTGAACTGTTTAATATAATATCTTGATTGTCCAAAAAAAAAAAAAAAACACATATTCACGTTCCTCCGAGATCATTCTTTACAAGAGTAAAGCATGCATTTCTGACGACCACCAATGGAGTTCACTGCCAAAGACTGCAAGCTACAGCATCTGACCACCAATGGAGCTCAATGCCGAAATTATGAATATATTTAGCTTCTTCCTCTCCAGCTTGTTGTTCTTGGAAGTACTTCACAATCTCATCATCTATATTTTTCCTACATTAACGTTGAAAAACGAGCCAGAAATATTGTACCCTGAACTGCTAAACAATTAGCTAGGCAACATTTGCCTGACCGCCTTGGTGCTATTCATGATTATGTTCATTTAATGTTCATATGTATGAACAATTACTGAAATTGTTAATATAGCAGTAATGGAATGATATGGCTAAATCTGTATTTTTTTTTTTTTATGTTTTATCTTCTGTAATTCTTTTTTTTTGTCATTTTCTGTAGAAATTTTTTTGGATAAATTCAACCTTAATATATAATGAAGATTGTGGAAATTAAAAAATCTAAATTTTATAATGAAATAAGGGGTAAATTTATCGTTTGAACAAATCAAATTTACTTCTCATTTTAAAACAAGTGTAGTTTTAACATTATACTTTTAATTATGTTTAAAATGATCAAAAGTGAACAATAAAATAAAATATAATCTCACTTGTATCTTAAAAAATTATTTAATATTCTATAAGTAAAATTTTTTAATTTTACAAGTAAAATTAACATGACGACATATGTTTTACTTTTTTTAAATTAATTTTTTATTTTTAAAATATATTTTAATAAATATGTATCATTTTGTTAACTTGTAAAATTAAAAAATTATATTGATATTATATTTAATAATATATTTATTAAATATTATTAATAGAAAATCTTTTCTCTTAATATTATATATATATATATATATTGGAAGAGATGAATGGATACTGTATATAAAGATTTTTTATTCTGCTTAAGGTCAATTCACCTGTTTTCCCCTTATACTAAAGCAATATATAATAATTATATATATAAATTAATAAAAAAATCTATATATTACTTGTTTTTCTCAGATATTAACGTATACTTCGCGTCCCCTTTTTTTAATCTTCCATTTATTTTTGAGAAGTTTAAGAAAACAGTGTTGGATTTAGTGTATTTTATATTAAAATTTTTTTATTTTTTTAATAAAATTGTTGTTCTATGTCTTTTTATATCAAAAGAATTAAAAAATGAAAAAAATAATTTAGAATATTAAAAAAATTAAGAGTATAAGGTGTTTAAAAGTAAAAAACAACAATTTTAAAACATTTAAAAAATAGAAAAAGGGAAACAAAGGAATTATGTATAATACCACAAGAATTTGGGACTCGATAAAGAAATTCCATCAAGGAAATGTTCATCATGCATCCTAGAATGTTTTAGATTAGTAGAATAATCTTTCAAAAAAATATATATACAGCTAAATAGGATGACAAAGACTGCCATAGTCCTATATAAATATATATATATATATACAGGAAAATAATTAATGAATTATTGTGATCATGTAAAACAATTGTGTTTGCTGTCAACATCAGAAAAAAATTTCTTTGCACATGTAAAATACTACCAACTTTGTTGGTTGTTGCTTTTTTTCTTTCCCTTTTTTAGGATGATGAGATATATCAGATTTGATCCTGCATACTATAGAATTCACCACAAATCAAGCAAATTATTTTTTAAAAAAAATATTCTGATGTTGTTTTTCCTATGCCTTGACGATTTTATATTTTATTAGACAGTTTAAATTTTTATTATTTTATTACAATTTTACTTATAATATTACTTTACATTACATGACATTTAAATAATAGAAAATATTGATAATCCTAAAAGAGTTTACGTGTGTCCGAAGATGGATCAACGTATCGAGATCGCTTCTGATTATCAGGATTCTGAAATTATTTCGAAAGAAGTGAAGAGGAAGCATAGCGAGGTAATGGAGGCGATGAAGGGTAAGGGTATTGGAGGGATCAAAGCTAAGAAGTTGGAGACCATGGCTGCCTCCCAACCTCCTGGCTTAGCTGCTATCAAGTTCTAGGCAGCTGTGGCTTTGGTCTTGGTAACCCTACTTTGGGCTTGCGGACTGCAGCTGGCAACAGTACTCAACGATGAAAATACGGTGTCAAAGCCGTCACTCTATAGTTATTGCCACCGCAAAGTGAGTGATCTTTTCTTCTTTGCTTGTTTTGTGCCGGGATTTAAAAAATAATAACAATAATAAAGAAAGAAAGAAAGATTTTGCACTTTTTTTTACTCGTCTTGAAAAAATTCCTTTCTCTCTCTTTTTCTTTTTTGTAATTTACCCTTTAGGCCTCTAGATTAATCTTTTTATGATTCATGCACTACTATTAGATTTTTATATATATCTATAATGATAATTAAGAAAATTTCTAAATTCCTCCCCCAAAAATATAAAATTCTTTCAATAAATTAATAGTGAAGATACATTCTAGCTAGAGATCTGCTTGATTTGCAAAATGTTGTCCATTTTTACCTTAATTTGTACTTAGCTCTCCTCATAATTTGTATCACCAAAAAAAAAAGATATCAAATATTTTGTCAACTATAGCTATAGCACAATTTTCACGCTACTATACTTGTTCGATATTTACAGGTTCTTCCTCGCATACAAAAGAGTGGAGTTTTGCATTTCTCTCTAACTGACGCTAGGCTAGCCAACAATGGGCTACCAGATGAGGTCCAAAAGCTTCGTTGTAGGGTAAACTATGAAGCATTGAGATTCACTCAGCCAATTGAGGAAACAGGTAGAAAATTGTTAGTCACCTAAGGCAAAAGCGCCGTTTCTTGCCGTTCTTCATCTTAGATATGAAAAAGACATGGTGGCATTCACTGGTTGCATTCAAGGTTTAACTAGACAAGAGATTATAGAGGTCACTGAAATGAGGTGAGAAATCCTTTGGTATTGCAATTTGCTATCAACTGAATTGGTACTCATTAAGATAAGACCCAAGTTGATATTGCAATTGCGTTTGAAAGCATTCGCAGGCTCCTACTGCTTTTGCAATTAACAAAAAATTATTCACCAGAATCGGAATTTTTAATCGCAAATTCATATCTTGTTTAGCATTGTGTTTGCGATCGAGTTTATAGATTACGGTCTACTGCACTTCAATTGCAATGCCAAATTGACTCTAGCCTCTGCATATGCATGCCCTGTACAAAATCTAAAAAAAATTTGGATTGATCAGGTACTCCTATGAAGGGTGGAAGCATAACCCAATAAATGCTAAAAGGAGGAGAGAACGTGGTTCTTGCCCTTTAACTCCGGAGGAAACTGTATTCATATTGCAAGCATTAGGTATTGATAGGAATACCACAATTTGTATTGCTGCTGGAAAAATATACAATGAAGAAAGGAAAATGGCAAACCTGGCAAAGGCTTATCCAAATCTGGTCAGTCAAATAAAAAATAATTCCAGTATATTTCCAAAACTTAGCTCGATTGTTGACTGATTATTAACAAATTCAGAGGGGTTGCTTTGATTATGTGAAATAGGTGAGGAAAGAGCTTGTATTGGAACCCTGGGAGCTCAGACCCTTCTTAAATCATGCAGATCAAATGGCAGCATTGGATTATATTGTTGCAATAGAAAGTGATATTTTGATCCCCACTTTCCGAGGAAACATGGCCAAAGCGGTTGAAGGCCATCGTAGGTACTTACTCTAGTTATATTAGTTACATGAGCATGAAGCACTCTATTGACATTAATTGGTCATTATTTGATATGAATATTGGCATTCAACTTTTCTTTTTTTTTTTTTTTCCGGATATATGGGATTCAAGGCAACAATTATTCTTGACAGAGATTCTAGTTAGCTTGATCGATGACTAAAGGAAAGGAATACTGAGCTGGGATGCGTTTGCTCTAATAGTGAAGAAAACTCATCAAAATCATACTGGATAACCATCCAAAAGATGGGAGATTCCTTATCATCCTAGACTTGAAGATTTTTTCTATTCTAATCCACAAGAATGTCTGCCACCATTTTAACTTAAAAATTTTAGTTGATGAAGTTGGAGTGTAGCAGGGAAATTTGTTTTAATAAGTGAGATTTCTAGATCTAATTCCATCCTTAATTTGTTTCTTCAATTGAATTGGTAGTAAGCACCGGTTTTGATTTTCGATTTCAAACAGATTGTTATTGGCAACTGCAGGTTCCTACTTGTTTTTGCAATTGAATTTAGAATAAATTTGTTATAATCAGAATTTTCAATCCTAACTATATATCTTGTTGGACATTATGGTTTCGATCAAACAAACTTCAAATCACGAATAGACAATGAGTCTGTTCCGCAGGAAAATATATATTCGAATCAATATGTATGATACATCCATGATGATACAGGTAAACATTGTCATCTCCCCTGAACAGAAATCTGAGGAACCACCCCATTAAAGCACATAATCTAAGGGGTACTGCTCTTACCCGGAATACAATTGATACATACAAGGACCCCAAAAAAACCAAAACCATAGCATATACAAAGCCAAATGAAACTGAAAAGAAACACAAAGAAAGAACAGATGGAATAACCGAGTAAAAATGATGTTTCAAGGAACGCAGTCTTATTTCCTCAGCCGTTTTTGGGCATGATCAGAATCCTCTCCGCTGCTCACATCTCTAAGATGAGTCATTGCCTGATTGGGGGAATTCTGTGGTTCCTGTAAAAATATTGTAGATAAATAAGAGCCAGAACAACTTTATTCATGATCTAGTGTTTATTGACTAATTTCATCAAAATACTTGTAAAGGTTTAACAAAGAACATGGGATAAAAACCCTAGACAGGATCAACTAACAAGAGAACACCAAGATCTTTCTTTATTTCAGTCATACCTTAGCAGATGTTAGCCCTCTATTTGCTCGCTTTCCAAGATCAATCTGCACTGAGATGTTGGCCTGTGACAGATCCAAACCCGCGCTCTGAAGTGCTTGTGTCAGAGAGTTCAATAACCTGGTCGACATCAAAATCCATGAACATTATCAACTTATAGTTCAGCACCCTAAACCTAAATGGAATTTTGTTTAAGCCAGAAAGTATTATGCGCATACAACAATTTAAGAAGAAGTAGAAGAAGAAGAGGCCGTATCCCCATCAAACAATTTAAGCATCCTCAATGGCAAATAAGATACATACAACAAATGTAAAAATTGTTGTAACTAATGGCAATAGTTAAACTGGGTTGAAACTACTATCAAATAAAAAAAGCCTAAGGTATCCAAGAAGAACAGATCACTAGCACCAACAGAACAATCCCACTGCCAAATCCTCAAAAATAAACAAAAACAAGGTATCAGAGTGAACAAATGACAAACATCAGAACAATTCCTCTCACTCCTTCAAAGAGGAATGGATATACCATATAATTCATGCCTCACTTTTTCCTCATGTTTGTGAATCAAGGACTATGAAACTCTCTAATACATTCAGTTGCGAACAAGATAACAATGAAGATGAAAAGACACGTAAACCTTGATGCAAGAACTAAGCATCTTAAACTTCTGACCAAAAAATTCAACAACTTAAGTGCTTCATAACATATGCAAAACAAGAGCAACCATGTAAAAGTTTGCAAGCGGAAAACCTCATAATGAATGGAATATAAACTACAGTAGCTAGCCATGTAATTGGAACACTTTCAGGACTGAAAAAGAAAAAAAAGAAATACCCACCCCTGAGAATAGACACTAGAGATGCTAATTCTTCCTCCTTCAATTGTTAGATCCTCCTGTTGGTTCAGTGTATCATTGCTGATAAGACACTCAGTGGATTGAGCCTCAGAGACTGGTCTCTGAAGGGGATGCACAAGCACATTATCACCTTGGATGGGCAGATGCATCCCCTTGTTAGCCAACTCAGGTTGGCGATCCATAGCTTTGGATGTAGCATCTCTGATTGGATCAGCTTCTACAGGATTCTGTGCACTTGTGACCATTGTGGGGTTGATATTGATGTTATTCTCATCAATCTTCCCAGTAAACGTTGACCCTGGGCCAGAACCATTTTTAATAGCTTGTGGGTGACCAACAAAACTCTGAACACGCCAGTGATTATTTCTCTATTCAAGTTAGAAAAAGTAAGTAATTAATCAAAAGTTCAATACCACAAATAAGCAGGTACCATGTATAGAGGCATTGTTCAAGACCAAGTAAATTACTAATACAAGCAATCAACACCTTGCAAAATAAACAATATAAAGCACTGAAATATGGCAACTATTGTAAGCAATGCCATAGCCAGAAATTTATTTTACAGGAATCATATAAGGTTTAGCACCAGATAGATAAATTTAAAAATCAGTAATACACAAACAAATAAATTGAGTATATTATCTCGTTACTTCAACAAAAAGTTGCACCAGTGATCAAAAAACATTGCTTAAGCAATTTTTTGCTCCTCCAAATATTTTATGCTTATCAAAGATTTTAGACAATTTTATGCTTAAAAAGCCTAATGAAACTGAATTTCCCATCCAAAAAAAAAAAAAAAAACAAAATCATAGAATACCTAATAGCTTAACGAAGAGGATATATACAAATCATCATAAGCATGTCTTTCTAACTGCAAATTAACTGCTTAAGCCACAAAAAAAATATATATATATATATTATTTAAACCTCAAAGATAGAAAGCATTCAGTATAAAACCATACCCATGGCATTAATTTTGTGGGCTCGGAACTCCATCCCTGGTATGAACCCTCATATTTTTGAACCCTCTCCTGTAAATATTGGACATACTCTATCACCTGCAAAAGAATATTGTTCCAATCAAAAAATTTTTGAAGCAGGATTTTCTCCAAAGTTAAATAGCTAGACAAATAACATAGTATGACATTTTTCATTTCCAGATTCATGACATACCTCTAGCAGGAATGAAGCTGTATCTCTCTTTTGATCAGTGTTTGGTATTAGATCTCTCAACATTTGAAATCTAAAAGCATCAGAAAACTAGTTGGTGTTACCATTCACAAAGCTAAGCAAGCATCATCCATTTGGAACTGCTCGAGTCCATAGTACATCACCAGTAATTGAATAGCACTTAAATTTTGGTTCCAAGCTTTTCACAAACAACAAGTACTTAACTCAGTGCTAGCAAAGGACCAAGAAAACATTTTTCAGTCCCCTATTATATCCCACCATAACATGACCAATAACACATTAATATATGGTGCCATTTCAGTTAAACATTTTATAAATTAAACATAACCATTCTTTTAAACCAGTTCATCTGGACCTCCAGTTCTTAATGCTATTGAATAGCTTGCCTTTACACAAAAAGAGAACTTCTCGACAAAAGTTCAGTAGAATCATCATCAATTCATAATAGAGTCAGTTCGCTAGCCAAACCAGTTCCTTTTCAATCATCAACATTTCCACAACAAACGTAAACCTAAGCTAATAGAGTTCAAAACTTTCTTACACTCAACCTACACCAAGCCATTACAATCAATGGTTTATGCAATTACCAGAACTTTAACTTGATAAACATATAGAATTACTTAAAGGGAATGACTAAAAACCCAAAATTTCCAAAATAAAAAATAAAAAATAGCAATAATAAAAGATGGACATTGAAACTGGAAGAAAAGAGAAGAAGATACCTTTCATTAATCTTACTCCTCCTCCTCTGCTCCGTGACAGAGTGTTTTGACCGTATAGCGTTAGCCTTATCACTGTTTTTCCCGTCTGTTTCCACAACCCCAGAAAAACAAAACAAAAGTACAAATGAAACAAACCCAGGACAAGAAACAAAAAATACCCAGAATTCCAAATTCAACAAAAGAAAAGAAAAATACCCTTTGAGAAACAATCATGTGGAAATATACTATAAGAAGAAAAGGAAAAAGGGGGATCTGGGGTAAAGATTGGGATCCAATCTAATAATATACCTTTGTTGGAGTTGTTGTTGTTATAGGCGTTGACAGAAACAGTTTGATTAGAAGAAAGCCCCTTTTTTTTGGAACCAAACTCTTCTTCATCGTACTCTTCCTCCTCTTGACTTCCTTTTGCCGTTCTCATTTCTTTCCGTTCTCCGGATGTCACAAACAAAAAATATATATTATATACTATCAAAAAACAAACCCCCGAAAAGAAAAGATAATTTGTTAGATTGATGATAAAGGTAGAAAAAAGGGACGGAATTGGAGAGAGAGTGGAAAGGAAAAAATATGGAGTTTTCTTGGTTGGTTGGCTGGTTCCCGGCCAGAACAGCAGTGTTGTTAAACTAGCTTGTGTTGTTTTTTTTGGGTCTGGAGGTGGTGGAGAAAGAGTTGTGATGGGGATGGGATGTGAGCCACTGAGTGAGTGAGTTCATGGATTTCCCGTGAGGTTTTACTTCATGTTTCATGGGCCCTACATCAGGACAAAAATGGAGGAAAATTGCAAAAAAAAAAAAGCCAACGAATTATGTGGGATCGCTTATATTAATTGTTATACAATTATTCGATGGAATTTTAAAATTTCGTTAGATTTATAAAAGTTTTATATGAAATTCATAAAATAGTAGATTCTTATATATAATTTTTTATTATGATTATATAATTATAAAATTATAAAAAAATATTTTTGTCCGAAAAAAAAGATAATAATTTAATAATAAAAAATTATAAGAATTAAAATTTTAATTTTAATTTTATTGAATGTTATTTTTTAAAAATAATTATAAAAATTAATTAAATTAAATTTCAAAGTTATTATCAAATTTATTTGACTTAATGACATCTAATTACTAAAAGAAGAAATGCATCAAAAAAAACATAAATATAATGTATTTATATACGAGAATTAATATTCATAAAAATTTTCCAAGTTTTTTTTTTTTTCTGTGAAAAAGTACTACGATTTGAATAAAAATTTTCAATAATTAACATAAGAACTCAATTGTATATCAATTACTACAAAACAATTAATCCCTTTAATTATACAAACCCATATTCCAGAAATCATGAATGCTTAAATACCTCAATTACCTCCCAACTCCTAACATTAATTCCAAGCATGGATAAATTAAAGTTATAGCTGAATTTAACCCTAAAAATCCAACTCCCCACCCCTCCTAACATACTTTCAGCGAAGCTTCGTAACACAATTTCAGCTCCCATGCACCTCCGTAGCACCAAAAATCTTTATCGCTATAAAAAAATTAATACTTTGTATAGTTATGTTACTCTTGCTCACCTCAATGTTGTCATCTTGTATATATCCTTCGACTTAGTACTACGCCAAGTGATCATATAAGCTGAAAAAAAATCAAAGAAAATTAAGCTGAAGAGGCGGAGAATGTCTGCCATTACTGCGACTGCTAAAGCTTTGTGCAACACTTTTTTTCAGATATGGAGTAGTCTTCCTTGTTCTTCCATTTCTTTTATCCTTTATTCTAATTGTTGTGTTATATTTTTCCTTGTTTTTTGTCACTGTTTTCGTGGGCATATATACATTTTCTTGGAGTGTGTAAACCCTGTTAGAATCCTGAAAATGAAGTTGAGCAACTTCAATACTTATGCAACTGTATTTTCAGGCAGTAATAGTACGTAGTGGTAGTAGTAGAAGTAGTAGTAGTTCATTTTAAGTCCATTGGATTGATTTCAAGATATGATCATTAAATGGCTGGAGGCCTCAAGGTTAAAGATGATCAAGTGTGTAGTACTGTTGATTTGGATCCAGGGGAAGTTCCATTTTTTTACGAATCCGAAGAAGAAGAGCAACAGCAATTAGAAAAGGAAGATAATATTACAGATGAATATTCTGGCGGACATGGATTGAGAGTCCGAAGTGAAGACTCGTTTGAAATGCTAATTCAAAAGACAAGTCAGAAGAAAATTATGGATCGGCACTTTTTAAGTCATTTTATTTTTGGGGGGCGAGATATATATTGTACATATTTTCTCTGTATCCTGATATATTTTCAGTCAATCATTTCATTCCATGGGTTTTCTTGCATATTTTCTGCAGTTCCATGAAAAGTTAGCCTTCTGGAGAAGGAAAGAGAAGGAAGAGATCATGTATAAAGGAAAGCTGAAGCAGGCAAATTGCGAAGATTACACATAGCAAAATGGATTTTGGTATAATCAACTTGATCAACTTAATTGTAAAATGAATTGCAATTTTTTTCCTTGATCATTGATTTGCAGTTTCGCATAACCTTACTTAATAAATAAAAAATGTAAATACTAAAATTTAGACGTCAAACTCACAAAATGTATACTCTTAAAAAATGATTACACAAATCAACCAAAGTAAGCTTTCAGTTCATATATGTTATATTGTATCATATTATTTCAATATAGTTGAGTACTATTAATATCCAGTACTGAATTTTTATTACCTTTAGCAATCGTGTGAACATATACATCAAATCTTTACCCCCCGAAAAACTTGGAATTAATGAACTTTTTATAATTAAAAAATCTATATATATAGAAGAAAATTTCACATTTGACTTTGATATAAAATTGAATAAAAAATAAAGAACATAGTCTAAGCCTATAGACAGAATCTGGAAAACAAATCTTTGTTCCTACTGGTTATGTATCATTGTTTCATATGTATAATAATGAATAGATATTAGACATATAAAAATAAACCACAAACAGGAAGGGTAAAGACTAAATCAACCGCACTTTGTGTGCACTCGAGAAATGCTTTGACGCAGCAACCATGGTCGCCACTGGCGGCCGCAACCTCCGTATTCTTCACATCTTCATCTTCATCTTTATCATGTAAACAGAACCATGAAATCAATATTGATCTCACGATCAATGACAGTCCACTTCTTTTCTCATCCTTGATCTTGTTTAAACAATTTCTTGATATATAGTTCAATACTAGAGAATTTTTTGCTTATTTGATGGTGTCTTTGAATCCATTTCATTGACTCTTATACAGACGACATGGTATCTTGATGAGCAAGGTAATTAAGTAAGCTGACTTGGTTTTTAGTCTTAATTATTTTAAATGGAAAGATGAAGTATTAAAATGACAAAGAATTGTGTAATTAAGCTGATTTAGAACATATTTTACTTTGACCAATGCTAACTCTTTATTTAATAAATCTAGAAAATCCTAATACCTAAAATGGGTCAACTTAAGATCGATTAGATTAAATATCAATATATGTTAATGAGTGCAATTATGATTAAAATGCGTGTTATTTATAATTTATAAACAAAAACAAGTTAGCTTAGTTGCTTCTTATAATTTACAATCCCTAACACCAATTCTCGACAAATAAATAATTTTTTATAAAAAAGATTTTTTGAATGAAGTATTAAATTTATGTAATCACTTTTGACTTTAGAATTTTACTCAGATTAATTTTTTAGTAAAAGAAAAAGTGAACTCTTTATTTCCAAGGCTTTGAATAATCTCGTGAGAAGGCATCAAAAGAGAAAATTGTTTCTCTACCAAATATATAAGATCATATAATTCTTATATTAAAATGGTCTTTTTCTATTTGATTTTTTTTTTCTTCGTCTCAATCGTAAAGCCGGTATATAAGAATAAGAAAGAAGGGTTCGCACTCATAATTTCTATCGTCATTAGTCATATGCTTCTGTTAATGGTGAAGATGAAAAGCATGAAGATCTAAAAAAAAAAAAAAACAAGAAGATTATTAAAAGACTGAAGATACACTAATAGATGTTATCTTGGGTCAGACCTGGGCCTTTTGATTTGGGCTTTAGGCTTAAGGCCTGTTTAATATTTTTTAGCATTTTTTCTAACATTTGTATTATGACTTCTTCTTTTTTTTTTTATAATTTCGATGATCAAAATCATTAATATCGAAATATATGATTATTCAGATATTAGATATGGAAATACTAAAATTTGAGATTTTTTATATAAATTTTTTAATAGTTTTGGCCAAATCAACAATAATAATAAAATAAAAGAAATAAATTTTGGACCCCGTTGGAGCAGCTTGCATATGCAATTATCATAGTTCATTAGCACAATTAACATGTCATCCCAACTCTCTCTTAGTTCATTAAACATATATAATAATTATGCAAAGATCGAGATTATGAAACAAGCTTGGTGTTTGGAGATATTTTTCTTCCTCTTAATTGGCTGGATTTTAAATTAGAGTAGTTCGGTCCATTACTTAAAAGGGACATTGCATTATGATATATGGTTAATTTCATTATTTATACTCACATGTTTACTCTTAATTGCTCCTCATTGTTTGTTGCCTGTTCTTCAACAATATCAAAAATGTCCATAAACACCTTTTTATTACTTAAACTCCGCAATGAAACATCTTAATGATTAAATTTTGAATTTTTTTTTTAAAAGTTACGTATTCAAATCTTTGGAACTAAAAACAATTAATATATTATTAGAGTTAATATTTGAAAGTTACGATTTTAAAAGAGTTTAGATATATAATGTCATATTCAATCATGTTTATAATAAGGTAAGAGGTTTAAAGATAAATTAAAATTTTTAAAAAAATTAATTGAGCTTAATTTATGAGATAATAAAAAGGTATTATGGGCCTCACGTCCAATAATTTTTTTTATTTCTTTGACATCTTAATAGATTTTTATAGCTATAAAAAATCTCTAGCAACTCAAATCTTATCTCACTTTTATTAATTTTAACGATCAAAAAAGTTTAATTTCACGATCAGATAGATAGCTCTTCTTAGTATCATGTAAATATATGTTAACATCAAAAATTAACTGCTTAATTAGACATTTTAATTAGTTAATTGCTTGAAATATCCCACACCTTTCATAAAAATTAAGTCACTTGGAATTTGCAAATTGCAATGATGTTTCCATGAGAATTAACCCACGAAAGTTCCCTCCAACATAATTATGCGATGTAACATCAAGACATAAATATGTATTAATTCACCTAAACCTGTCGATTTAGGGTAAAACATAAATATGCAGTAGCATGCCTTCACTTCATGTACAAGAAATTAAAGCCGCTAAGCATCTTCAAACACACACTTTGCTCCCCTTTTTTCAGCACAAAATACAAGACGAAAAGGCTAGGGACAGGTACCATAAATATCTTAAATGGGTTCCTGTGATTTCAATTTACCATTATCACAAGTCACAACGTGTCTAGGATGAATGTTTTAATTTCATCACTATAAATAAGTTATGGATAATAAACCTCGTTTGTTTGTGTTATACGCATTATCTAAAACAAATATATATATAGTGGCGATAAACAATGTAATTACTAATTATCAATTTAGTTTTAATTTGTAAATGATTAAATTGCCCAATCATGTCAATGGTTCGTGTGGTCTATTGATAAATTAAGTACTAAACTCTTAATTTTAATGATTAAAATTTAATCTTTAATAATTTCCAATATCAAAAAATTTGCACGTCATTCATATATTTTCAAGAATTATTTCATTT